CAGGTGCTCCAGGCAGTGTTCAGGGGTTCATATGTGGCGTCAGAGATCAAATTAGGGCTAGCCACATGCAGCCCCCTGTACTGTCTCCAGGCCCTAAATTGCATTTCAAAACACTTACCTGAGTTACTTGATTCCATGGTAAAGGTAAAGGTAAAGGCCCTCCCGTTGATCGTCGATTTGCTCGAGCGGGCCCAGTAACGTCTCCACTGGAGACTTTGTTGTTACTGTGTCTGGCATATCGAATACTCTCGGTAGCTTGCCGGGCTCTCCGAGAGGGGCGGAGGAATCGAACTCGGGTCGGCCATGTTGGCCACTTGTAAGGTGAACGTCCTTTTTTCTAGTTTTTTTTTTCCATGCTGTCAAATTAGTTTGATAATTTTTCAAAGTGGTGGAGGGACAGCAGGAGAAGGGGGTGTCCCCTGCTATAGCCAGAATGATTAAGGGAGAGAGGCCTGAGTGGTGTGTGTGTGTGTGTGTGGGGGGGGGGGGGCTGAGGTCCAGAGCCTGGCACCTGCTCTCAGAAATCCTCACTGCTGCAGGGAAGGCTGCACCCACTGCTTGGCCTTTTACCCCCAGATGTCCAGGACTCTGAGAGCTTGGGTCCCGGGACACAATGCCGTGCAGGAAAGCTATGGTGTCACATGCGGCAGTGCTCAGGGCGTACTACTCTTGGCTCTGCAGTCAGGAATTACTCCTAGCGGTGCCTGGGGACCATATGGGATGCTGGGGATGGAGCCCGGGTAGGCTGCACTCAAGGCAAGTGCCCTCCCTGCTGTTCTATGGCTCCAGCTCTGGAGAGCTACATCTTATTGTTCAGAATGAAGCCGTTTTGCATGCCGGCCAGCTGAAGCTGTCCCTTCACTGGCTCAGGACCTGGCTCTGCTGCTGACCTGTTCCCCTGGCCCCAGGGAGACTCTGGGCCCTCGGGTTGGCCTCTGGTGTGGGTTTATCCCCTGCTGCCCCACCCTCACCTGCCACCACGATGGCCCCGACTGAGCCTGGTCTAGCTGGTGACCTGCCGCTCAGCTTCAGGCTGCTCAGTCCTGTCTGTGTGGTGTGGCCCAGCCTCTCCCCTTAGCCCACCTCGGTGGTGGTGGTGGGGGGGCGGGGGGCATCCGACTGCTGCCTCATCCTGATCCCAAGAGAGGGAGCTGTCCGGGCTGCGGTGCTGGGATGGTTGGGGCGCAGAGCTGCCATCTGGCTGTGGCAGGCGGCCCAGACACGCAGGGAACCCATCAGGGGACAATAAAGACAGCATATACTTAAGAACGCGGCTCCCTGGCAGACTCCCAGAGCCTCGGGGGAGGCGAGGGGTGGCGGGGTGACAGATGGGTGAGTAGGTGGGGTGGGGGCCCCACCCCCGAGGCTCGATAAAGGCGGTTTTGTTTGAGGTTGGGAGGCTGCAGCCGCCTGGTGCGGGAGGGGGTGCTGAGAGCTCTGGGGAGGAGGCGGACAGGCCCTGCAGGGCTCGGGCTGAGTGCTCACAGGCAAGCAGTGTGGGCAGGCCTGGGTGGGGGCTCAGTGGGCGAGCACCTGCCTGGCATGTGTGAGCGTCCTAGCTTCCCTCCCCAGCAAGAAGCGTGGGCAAGGCCCTGTGGGGAGGAGGACTGGTAGGATGGTGCAATATGGCCAGCTGGCCCCAGTGAACTGGGAGGACGAACACCCAGACCTGAGTGCCGCAGAGCCGCTCAGGGCAGCACTGGAGGTGTGGCTCTGAGCACTGGCACTATCTGGTCAGCTCCTGTGCTCTGCCAGGTCTGGGTTCAGTCAGGGCGCAAGCCAAGGGTCTTCTGCAAGCTGCCAGCTGGCTGTGCTGCGTGAGGGGCTAGAGGGTAGCCTTCATCAGTGGCTCTGGGTCACAGGGACGCTCACAGGCTCCCACTTTTCCATCACCCCTGCAACAGCCTCCTATTGCTGGTCCAGGAAAGGCCAGGTCAGCAGGGATCTCTAGAACATTCCCCTTAGCCAGAAACTCTGAGATGATCCCCCTAGAATTCTGGGATCCAGGGATGCAGAGGTGAGAAGGCACGACATGGTGACCAGCTTTCAGAACTTGTGGTTTATTGACACATGAGTACAGTGGGCCCTGGAAGACCACCTTCCTGGCCCTCACCTTTGGGACTTGTCCCATAGACAGGAAGTGGCCGTTCTGTCTCAGGACAAGACATAACACCCAGGGCCCCCACGGGGATGTGCACAGAGCAATGTTGGCGTGGCATGGGAAGGGCAGTGCCCAGTGAGTGCATTTGGCAAAGCGCGGAGCCGGCTAGGCAGCACCGGCCCCGGGGGCAGGAATGAAAATGACACGGCTCATCCCACAGAGGCTCTCCCTGGGATTCTGCGGAGGCAGCCAGAGCCACATAGGACTGGCACTGTGGGGGCCAGGGTGTGTGTGTGTGTGGCGGGTGCTGTCCGGGGGAGTCGGGGAGATCGGATCAGCCTGAGGCAGGGCTCACCCACCTTTCAGGAGGCTGGGCTTCTCCCAGGGAGCTCCCCCCATGTCCTAGTTTGGGGGGCCAGGTGGAGGAGGCCTGTCCTGTCAGTCCCTGCAGGTGGAGCTGGACAAAAGCATCCTGAAGAGACGGAGGCCCATCTCCCACCCCTGGGGAGAACCAGCCCCTACCTGGAGACAGAGCCCGAGTCCTCCAGCTCTGCACCCCATATAAGGTGTTGGCATCTGTAGCTCAATTCTCTTCCAACCCACTTAAATTTCAAGAATAGACACTAATAATACTTAATCACCCCTCCCCGCTGGCAGTGGGAGAGAGGCCTCAGCCCTGGCAGCATCTTCCCAGGATGCACTTAGCTTCCTCTGGGGGTGGGGGTGCCTGCACTGCCAGGATTCCGGGAACTGCGGCGGACTCAGGGCTTCTCCCTGGGTCCAACAAAGGGGAAACTGAGGCCCAGGGGAGCGTGTGCCTGGTAGCAGAGCTGGGGCGTGAGAGGGGTTCCAGGACTGTGGCCCGAATGCTTGGGATTGCTTGCAGTGAGAGGGAGTGGACCAGGGTCTGGGGCCCAGGCTCTGCCCCACTGGCATCCAGGCAACCGCCAGCAGCTTGGCTGAGGGCTGGGAGTGGTGTAGGCGGCCTCTGGAGAGACTTCCAGAACAGGACCCCCAAGGGTGCCACTGGCCCCCACAGGCAAGGCACAGCAGCCCCCCCACCCCAGTAGCCATCAGCAACAGCTTCAGCAGCAGAAGACAGGCCAGAGAACAGTGGTCATTCTGAACCTGCCCCTAGGTGCCCTACGGGTGTGGGGGTGCAAGGGGTCTGTAGGGGAGATGGGGGCCACCTGCCTGTCCTGGAGGGGCCCCAGGGAAAACTGAGGAGCCCACCTGACTAAACCGCCTTTGAGCACATGAGGCCAGGTGCAGGCCACGCTGGGGTCCCATGATTCGGCATCCACTGAGGTACAGGGTCAAGGCTGAGCTTGCAGATGATGTCCCTCACCCAGGACAGTGCACTAGCCTCAGGAGGGGCAGCTTCTCCCTTTGCTGGCTGAGAGGAGTGAAGCTCCCCAAAGGGCAGGTGAGGACAAGGCAGGCTGACCCCAGTGCCCAGCGTCCCGTTGTGGGGGAAGGGAAACAGGGGCACAACCCCCAGATGCATCACAGATCTCCCACCTTTGGGGCCTGGTGCCAAGGTTTCTGCTGCCCATCGGCACTGTCTGCCCCCTGGGGGCCTCCCTCAGCTCGGCACAGGGTCAGCCTGCCCCACCTGGCCGGAACGCCCCAGGTCACCCAGTCTTGTGCCACCTGAGTCTCACTCCCAGGGTGCCCTCATTGGAGGCTAGCAGCAGGCAGAATGTGGCGGTGGGGGTACCAAGGTGGGGGGCTACAAGCTTCAGGGAAGCCCAAAGGGCTGCATCGCTTGGTGGGGGCAGGGTATGGGTCCCTCAGCCCATCTCAGCTCAGAGCTCTTAATTGCAGTTTACAAATATATCACTTCAACTGGCAACCAAAAGACATTCTGGAACATTCCAGTCCAACAGCAGCAGAGACCTGTCTCACAACACTGGACTCCCTCGCTGGCGGTCAATCAGAAACATGAATGGCCAAGGTGGGCAGGGGGCAGGCTCCCCACACCACATCTGCCCACGGCACACCGCAGAGAGGCAGAATGACTTCTCCCGGGAAGAATTCAAGTAGCCCAGCCCCTGCCACAGTAGCAAAATATAGCCTGCATCTGTGAAAAACTCAAACACACCCAGCCCATCACACCGCCCTGTGCTCTGCAGCCCCGGCCATGCCCGGGCTGTTAAGGCACTTGAATGGCTTATTAACACCACCTGGGAGAAAAGTTCCTTTCAATCCTGATTTAGGAAAATAAAAATCAGTAATACTGCAAAAAAAAAAAAAACCCAAAAATGAAAACCAAAAAACAACAACAAAAAACAACCTTCACAACACAAAATCAATACTTCAGTTCCCTCAGGAATGAGATAAATGCTAAATTCTGCATAAGTTACACCACACAACAGGGTTACCTTGGCACTGACAAAAACAGACAAAACCTGAAATACTGCTTTTGGGCAAGACGCTCCCCTGGAGTAAGGAAAAAAAAAAAGACCCAAACACAAAGACACACAGGGGGTCATTCTGCCACTCCACTCTGGGTGGAGGGAGAGGGAAGGCCAGGCCTGGGCCCGCACTGCTGTGGAGAGGGAGTCTGGCCGGGCCAGCAGGAACGGCCACCCGCGACGGGCCTCAGAGCGTCTGGGCTCCTGCGCCGGCTGAAGGGCTGAGTGGCAGTGCCCGCCTCTCTGGGCCCAGGGCCGACTCCTCCCAGACCTGACTCTTTGGCACGGGTTGCGTCCTGAGGCTTCCTGGGAGAGCCGTGAGGGGACGCCACACTCCTGACTATCCACGTCCACGGCAAGTCCACAGCCTCCGAGACAGGCGAGTGGCACAAGGGGCTCTGGGTCTTGGGGAAAGGGCTGTGTGGGTGGTGCCTGGAGCCACCTGCTGGGCCCTAAGGCATTGAGGGGGGAGGGCAGGGGGCAGGGGCCGGGACGGCTTAGCTGGGCTGCGGAGCGTCCGTATTCGGCTCTGGGCGGCCAGAGAGCAAGTCCCGGCTCCCGCGGTCTGCCTGGGGGTCCCCTACTCCCTCCCTGGCCTCCAGCAGGTCGCGGGGGTCTCTGAGGAAGACCACCATGACCGTGATGTTGTCGTGGGAGCCCCGCTCGCGGGCCTCGGCGACCAGGTCCTCAGCAACGCGCAGCCCATTGCCCTGCCGCCCCACTAGGCCGGCCTGCACCAGGCCGGGGACCTCCTGGTGAGGGACGACATCGAAGAAGCCGTCGCAGGCCAGCAGCAGGAAGTCCTCAGAACCTGTCAGCTCCTGGGAGGCGGCGTCCGCTTCCCCGGACACGTAAGGCTTCTGGAACACGTCCCCTAGGCGGGAGAGAGGTGCCGGGCGTCAGTGGGCAGGAGGAGTAATGGCCCCGTCCAGTGCCCTGGGCCCAATCCTGGGGGTCCCCCTGACTCTCAGCCCCTGCAAGCACACTTGCTGGCCTCACCTACAAAACACAGCTTGAACTCCCTTCCCCTCCTCACACCTGCCTACACTCAGGGGGCGGATCCCCTGCTGGGCCCCACCCCTTCTGTGCCTGCCTAGGTGGGCGCACACCAACCAGGGGTGCACACCCTATGCGCGGGACAGTGGGGGGTTCCCCTCTCCTTGGGACAAGCCCGCCCTCTGGTCCTCCCTGCTAGGGCACCGTTGCAATCCCCCCTCCTCCCCCCAGCCCCGTGTCCAGAGACACACGAACAGAAGCCGCAGAGGGCACCACAGAGGGCCAAGACAGGACACGCCCAGTTGCAGGGGTTAGCTGGGGCGGGGCGGGTGGTGGGTGGACATAGCTATCCCCTGCTCCGCACTACCTCGCTCCTTCCTCACCAATGGCTCTGGAGACGGCCAGGGTGCCGTTGACTCGCCAGCAGTCCATGTGAGACACGAAGCCGCCCAGCGCCTCGATGCGCTCCCGCTCGTCCTGCGGGAGACAGGCAGAGTGAGGACCCGTGCAGAGAACCACTGCTCTGGGATGATGCCCAAGGGAGGCATGAGAACACAGGAGACGCCCCACGCGGTCCCTGGGTGGCAGACATGGCTCATCGGGTTACGGGGGACACCCCAGCCAGGCGGCTGGCAACTGCGTCTCTGAACAGTGACGGGGTTGGGGAGATGCTCAGGAGGCAGCAGAGTGCGTGGGTGTGCTCCGAGGTCTGGCGGTGGCTCCCTAGGGGACACTGAGGGGCTGAGTAACACACAGGTATTGCTGCCCCTTACAAGCTCGAGATGGTGTAGTCACGTGGCAGGACTAGGCCCAGCCCTGGGGAATGAGCCCGGGCGCCCGCTCCCCAAAGGCCTCGGGAGTTCTAGCCCCAGAAGCAGGACAAAGGCCCAGTCTGGTCACGAGTGCCCGAGAAGTATCCTTGGTGGGGGCGGGAGATCGCGCTAAGGGCTGGAGCACAGGCCTGTGTACCCCACTCAGTCCCGCCTGCAGCCTTTACCCGGCCTTCACTGAGGGGCTGGTGGTCTCTGCCCACGGCGTCCCGAGCAGTCAGTGCTGAGGGCCGAGAGCCGACGCGGAGGGCCAGAGTGTGGGGTGGGGTTCCAGCCCAGAACCTCCCAGCTCAGGGGGGTGGGGTGCCTGGGCAACCCCGGGAAGTGAATCCCAATGCACAGAACAGCTGTGAGGCGCCCCAGGGCACCGCCAGGTCTGAGCAGGGCAGCTCTGCGGCAGGGACACAGGTCCCACTTGCTCCTCGGGGCTCGTATGATGGCTGCAGACCCTGTTACGCCTCTGCCGCCCCCGCAGAGCTGCTGCCACTGTGGAGATGCCCCGGCCTGGGCTCACGGGCCTCCGCTGCGAGCACGGAGATGGGCTGAGGCCAGCGAGGAAGGGAAAGAGAGGAGGAAGGGATGTGAGGACCTGCAGGGCTCTGGTCTCTGCTCCATCGTGGGATACGGATGCGAGAGCAGGCGCACTGCAGCCAGTCGCTCCCACACAGGCCCCTCTCAGTTCCCACATGCTTCAGGTCACCCAGTTTGACCTCCTGGGGACAGGACAGAGTGTGGCACATGGTACCATGGGGCAGTGCTCAGCAAAATCCACTCCAGGGCCCAGTGTGATAATCTAGCGGGTGGGGTGTTTTCCTTGCATGCGGCCAACCCAGGTTTGATCCCCGCATCCCATATGGTACCCCGAGCACTGCCTGAAGTGATTCCTGAGTGCAGGGCCAGGAATAACCCTTGAGCACAGCCAGATGTGAAACCCCCTTGATCCCCCCCCAAAAAAAAAATTAAGGAAAAGAAAAGAAAGAAAAAGAAAAGTTCACCCCAGGGACAAGTCCTGAGAGGACGTCAGAGCAGCACTGGCCAGAGGTGAAGGGATTCAGACAGGAGGGGGCTTATTCTGAGCGGAAGTTTGCAACTGACTTGGCCACACATCCCCAGACACAGAAACGTGTAGGTGGGAAGGGCCATGGGAGCAGGTGCTGGCAGCACCAGCACAGAGGCAGTGGCAGGTGCCGGCCACTTCCTGGCTGGGGCTCTGAACAAGTCCTGTAACCTCTCTGAACCTCAGTTCTCTCCCCCGCCAACGGGGACAGCCTCTGCTGTTGGCGTAGCATGGCGGAGCCGCGGTGAGCTCAAGAAATGCTTTTGTCCCTGTTAAGATGAGCACGGTTTGATTGATATTCTCAGCAGTGGCTCCAAACCAGCAGCCCTGGAAGAAGAAAGACTGCTCCATTCAGCCCCACAAAGAGCGGAAACACTTGGCAAAGGGCGGGAGAACGACAAGGGTGGGACAATGTGGCTCAGCCCACCTGCAGGAGCGGAAGACACGGGGAGCTCTGAGGAACGGGTCATCCAGGGTTCCTGCCAGTGGCATACCCCCGCTTGAGGGTCGTGCAACAGGGGACTCCCGCCGGGGGGAGTTGGGCCTTCTGGCCCTGCCTCCTGTGGGCAGGGCGTCCTCACCTGCCGCTCCGGTCTATGCGGCTCCATCAGCTTCACCACCTGTCCCTGCTGCACCAGGATGACTTGGGAGTCCCCGAGCCAGGCCACGTGCAGGGTCCTGCCTGCGAGGAGCGCGCACACCCCCGTGGTCCCACTCTGCAGCCGCTGCGGGGAGAGGACAGTCTCAGTGGCCCGGACTTGAGCCGGTGTAAGTTTGATGCTGTTTCTGCTCAAATGAAGAATGCCCACCCCCCCGCCCACCCGCTCGCCAACACACACGCCTCCACTCCTCCCCCACTGAAAGAAAGTAGCGCGGCTGCCAACAGGACTCCATCTAGCTACACAGCACCCCCGTCCTCACCCCAAGGAACCGCTGACCCCCGAGTCCATCCCTCCAGTGCTGCCCTCCATCCTCTCACCTCTCGCCGGGCTTTGCCGAGGAACATGTGGTCGGTGCGCTGGAAGGCGCGTCTCAGGGCCTCTGCGGGCTGGGTGGACAGCTCTGGCTGGCGGGCGGCCTGAACGTGCACATGCACAGCCGCGTACCTGGCAGCGTCCACCCCTCCGTGACCGTCAAACACGGCAAAATAGGCGCGGTCCACGGAGTCCTGACGGAGAGGGGCAGGACTGCGCTAAGTCACCCACCTGGGGCTCAGCTCACAGGGGCTCAGCCCTCCCCCATCTTCAGTCCCTCGGTGGGGAGGGGCCGGAGGGGGGCAGTGGCCAGCTCGGACGTGTGGGCCCCCCAGTGCTGGAGGAGCGGCAGGGCAGCTGGGGGCACTGCTCTCGCTGTGACCCTGTGGTGACCTCCATGGGGCCCCGTGGGCTGGGGACACTCACGGACAGGCCGAAGAGCTGGTTGAAGGTGGGCAGGCAGACGTGGCGGTCCTCCATCTTGCGGCGGGTGTTGCGGATGGCATGGACAGAGACCAGCCACTGGCGTTGCAGGCCCTGGGCGGCCGGTGGCACCTGTTTCTGCCACTGACCACAGACTTCCCAGAGCTGGTTAAAGAGGCTCCTGGCCAGGGCTTTGGCATCCAGTACTGCCGGGTGTGAAAAGCAACAGTTAGGGAAGCACCACTGTGGGGCCGAGGCCCCGTTCATGCCCCTGACCACACAGGCACCCCCATCACGGGCCTAAGGGGGCCACCGGGCCTCCTGAACCTTAGCCTCACGCACCCTGCGTGACAGCCTGTGGCATCAGCAGTCAGAAATGAGGGGTCTGGCGCTCCGTACCAGGTACCTGGGAGACCCACGCTGCTCAGGGGAGCCCACCCCAAAGAAACGGGGAGATCACAGAAATAATTTGGGGGCAAACTACATAATGATTTATAATTGTACGTCAATTAGAAGCCCCGTATGCGCACTGACAGGGCAAATTACGGTCTATTCTCCTGGTGAAGAATTAAGCTGCTATTAAAAATGATTTCCAAAGGCCGGAGCGATAGTATCAGTGGGCAGGGCGCATGCCTTGCACGCGGCTGACCCGGGTTTGCTCCCTGGCACTGCATATGGTCCCCTGAGCACCGCCAGGAGTGATCCCCGAGTGCAGGGCCATGAGTAACCCCTCAGTATTGCCAGGTGTGGCCCCCAAACAAAAGATTTCCCCCCCAAAATGTGCAACGGCCACAGAACCCAGCCAGGTTCCCGAGAAGTCACTCAGCCCAGGGAATGAAGGCGCGGCTCACCCGACACGGCACAGCGCACAGGGCAGGAGCTGGGACTGGCCCGGAGGCCCTTCCCCACCAGGATGGAGCAGCTGGGAGGAGCACGCGGCCACAACAGGGTCCCCCCGGGAGGACACCAACTCTGAAAACCACACGCTGCAGGCTGCCTGAAATGAGCCGGCAGCAGAAACGAGACCAGAGCTCATTAGGGCTTAGGGCTGCGGCAAGGCGGCAGGGTCCGCCGGGTCACTGGGGGGATCCCAGAGGCACATTTCTGTACCCTTTTTTTAGACATGACTACTGGGGGGAGCTGGGTGAAGGCTACGTGGGCTCCTTCTGTGTTGCTCCTTACAACTGCGTGTCAGGCTACAATTATCTCAAAATTTATTTAGAAAAAGAATCCTAAAGGGTAAAATGGCCTTTTTATATTTGGAAACTGATTTTTTTTTTTTGTGGAGGGGGATGGTGTTTGGAGGGCCACACCCAGCTGTGCTCAGGGCTTACTCCTGGCTCTGCATTCAGGAATTAAAATTCCTGAATTATAAGGGGGCCATATGGGATGCCGGAGACTGAACCTGCGGTGTTGGCCACCTGCAAGGAAAACACCCTACCGGCTGTGCTATCACTCCAGCCCTGTCTGAAAACGAACCTTTAAAGAGCAATTGCTCCAGGGCTGGAGCAATAGCACAGTGGGTAGGGCAATTTGCCTTGCACACGGCCAACCCGGGATCAATTCCCAGCATCCCATCTGGTCCCCTGAGCACTGCCAGGGGTAATTCCTGAGTGCAGAGCCAAGAGTAACCCCTGTGCATCGCCGGGTGTGACCCAAAAAGAAAAAAAAAAGAGCTGTAAACATGTAAACTGCTTATGCTATGCTATGATGAACAAGTGTCATGAAAAGGGAAGGCTAGAAAATTCCAAAAACGACTTGATCCTGGTAAAAGAAAAAGCCTCCAACCACTCGGACCCGGAGATGAAAAGCAACAGATGCAGCACAGGCTGCCACAATACTGGGGGGCCTCTCGGGCAGCATGGGCAGCATCCAGGGATGATGCTTTGTCTTGTTTGCTTGTTTATGGGCTGGTGATAATCAGGGGCTACTCCTCGCTCTGCACCCAGGAGTCATTCCCAGCAGTGCTCAGGGTCCACATGGAGAGGAGACGGGGCTACTCTGAATGGGCCCCTCAGAGGTTGGGCCGCCATCCCTGCAGGCCTTCCTGAGAGACCAGGGCCCTGGAGGCCAGCGCAGCAGCCCACAACTCTAGCCCTGGAGGCTGTGGGCTGATGAATGTTTCTTGTTTTTAATCCACTAAGGCTTGAGGCAATTGCGGGGTGGAAGCAGGCGATTGCACCCACAACACTAATTTGAAAGAAAAGGCCAGATCCTACCTAAGCCTGGTGTGTAAGCAGAAGATGGATGAGGAACAGCGGCCTAACGAAATGCCAGGGGGCCCGCCTCCACCCCCCCCCACCCCCCCACCCCCGCCCCAGGATCCCTGCAGGCCCGACACACCCAGCAGGACTGGGAAACCGGGGCCATTTCCTTAAGGGGAGGGAGAGTAGACAGCAAGTAACTGGGAGCAGGTGGATATGAGGAGTGGGCTGTCCACACCCACGCCCAAAGGAAGGGGTGTCAGTGGAAGAAGAGGCCCTCCCCAAGGCAGGCCGCGGCTGCAGGACACCACACACCCCTCCCCCCCCAAACCAGCTCCTGATGCTGCACTGGCCGGCCCCCCCAACGCCCCCACAGCATGTTGGGAGGGGGGCTCATTCAGGTGTTTGGGATTAAATGGGGTTGGGGGAAGACCTCCAAGGGCGCGAACACATGCTCTGCATGCAGGAGCCCTGGGTTTGGTCCCTGGCACCACTGGGGATGGCCCCCAAATCAAGAGGTCAAACAAAAAGCCAGGCTCTGGCAGGGCAACAGCTCGGGCCTCTTCCCCCTCTCCTCTGAAGAAGCCCCACCCTCCCCCCAGGGTTCCTGTCTGCAAACCACAGGCTCTAAGCTCTGATTAAGTCCAACACCCAGGCAGAAGCACATTTGTTTTCTCGCCTGGGGCCATGCTACAAAGTCTTGTCTAGACCTGACCCTGTGCCCGGCCAACTGCAATCACTGGAGAGGAGGAAAAGCAGCAGGTACGCCTGCCCAGCCGCTCCCCAGGTGCCAACGCAGCGGGAGCCCTGCTGCAGGGGCCAGGGCCACACCCCGGGTCTGCGGCGGCGGCCTCCGGGGCCACACGGAGGGCTCAGCCTCATCGGCAAGGGTTCTCACAAGGGTCCTCCCAGCACCCACTTGGCAAAAGAGGCTTTGACACGGCAGACGGTTTTACTTCTGAGACCAGCTGGCCCAGGCCTCCGCCTACTGGGATGACTCCAGCTTCACCAGCACCGGAGCCCTCCAGGCCTAGGGTACAGCGGGTGGCCATGGCACCTTCCTCCCAGCAGGTGGCGCCAGCGTCCCCCAGGCACCGGCTGGGCGGTTCCCTTTGTCAGGCTTTGCAAAGTGTCAAAGAGTCAAAGTGTCAAAGAGACCTTTGCAAAGGTCAAGAGTGCAGTGCTGGGGGGCTGGAGTGATAGCATAGCAGGGAAGGCGCTTGCCTTCTGTGTGGCCAACACGGGTTCGATTCCTAGCATCCCATATGGTCCCCTGAGCACCACCAGGAGTAATTCCTGAGTGCAGAGCCCAGAGGAGTAACCCCTTTTGCATCGTCAGGTATGACCCCCCCCCCCCCAAAAAAAAATAGAGTGCAGTGCTGGGCGCCAGGGAAGCGGCAGGGGATGCAGCTGAGAAGGATCTGGGCACCGAGTGCTCCACAGAGGCTGTGTGTGTTTCTTCCTTCCCCCTCCAGCCCGGGAGTCACTGAGCCTGAATTTAAAGGCACATGTGATGGGCCAGGGAGAGGGTTGAGAGGGTTGAGAGGGCCGGAGCACAGGCCTTGCACACGGTGACGGTAACTGATGTGATGGAGGGGATGGGTGATACTATTGTAGAAATGGTATGAAATAACAGCAGCGGATGAGACCAATACGCCGATCACTTTAGACCAGCGTTCCCCACGCAGGAGAGACACAACAGCGAGAAGGGCCTCCTGGCACCACACCCTGCTCCTCCCAGTCTCCTGCCAGCAGCCCTCCACTGACGGCACTGAGAGGCCCTGACGCCCCCCAAACCTGAGCTTCCTGCGGCTCCTATGTCTGGCGGGGCAGGTGGTTCTGTTGCCTACAAAGGAGTCAGGGCCCCTCAGGGCCTGAGAACTCACGAGTCACAGGGTCTGTCTCCTCTTCCTCATGGTTCTCCTCCTGCTGCTGGGGCGACTTCCTGTACTCGGAGAGGTCAGTCTGCAACAACCGGGACACGGCTGCGTGGGCCAGGGACGAGGCGAGGTGTGGCACAGCATTCCTGGGGATGCAGGCAAGGGAGGGGGTTAGAGGGACACCTGAGGTGGAGGCCCCGCATTCAGTCCTCGGCACCAGCCAGCCGAGTGTGGCCCTGGGGATACGCTGCCCTTGGAGACTCCTGCCCCCTGTACACTGCGACTCAGGGTGGGAGCGCAGCTAAAGCCCGGGAGCCCTGGCCGTCACAGCGGCCATGGAGGGAAGCAGAAAGGGAAGGAAAGGAGGGAGGCAGAGTGGACCCCTCAGAAAGACTGGCCCCGAAGGCTCCGCCTGGAGATGAGCCCCGAGCAGGTGGAGGGGCCCCTCCTCTCAGTGGGGCACCTCCAGAGGATGAGGCCGCCTGGGGCTGGAGCACGGGGCTAAGGCACTTGCCTTGCACTGGCTGACCTGGGTTCATTCCCCAGCATCCCATATGGTCCCCCGAGGACCGCCAGGAATAAGTCCTGAACACAGAGTCCAGAGTAAGCCCGCCAGGTGTGACCCCAAAACCAACCACAAAAAGACGAGGGTGTCCCGGAGTAGGGTGAGCCCCTAACCCGGACCGTAGGGAAACCCACACCAGGCACAGAGGGTGCTGGGGAAAGGGAGGGTTGAGCGGGTGCTGAGGCTGGAGCGAAGAGAGAGCTGCGGCCACTGACCGCCGGAAGGCCCCGCCTTACGGGCCTGCAAACGGGAAGGCCCATTTCTGCTGGACCCGCCAGGCTGTGCTTGGCCCCGTGCAAAGGAGCCCAGAAACGTGGGCGCCTCGAGCGAGCGGGTGCGCTGTGCTCGGCTGGTGGGGCACGGTCAGGGCAGGGCAGAGCTGGCCCGGGCGGGCGTGAAGCGGGGGCTGACGGTTGCGCTGGGCCGTGAAGGGCAAACAGGGCGGTGCGGGGCCCACCGCACGTCTGAAGCCTAGAGGCCCGGCCAGTGGGGCTGAAGGTGGTGGGCTGGAGCTACACGAACCCACCCGGGAGAGGGGGCAGCTGGTGGAGGAGCGGGGGGACCTCAGGTACCTCTGCCCACAACTGCCAACAAGACCCGGGTCTCACGAACAGGCCGTGGGAACTGCTAGGGCAGGAGCGGGAAACTGGGGAGGCAGGTGGGAAGGGATGGAGGGCGAAGGGCAGCTCCGGGACGTCTCGGAGCGGGACAGAAGGAGAGTCCCTCAGAAGGACGACGGGAAATTCTGACACTGGCCCCAGCTCCAGCTGCTTCAGGGACACACCCAGATTCTGGAGCTGCAGTGGGAGCCCCTCGGTGGAGCAGAGCCCACCCCCAAGGCGCTGGATCCTGGGGCGACACCCAGGGCTGCCCAAGACACACTGCCGACCCACAGCGGGTGCCCAGGGGGTTTCCACAGGAAGGACAGTCTCTAGGGCAGGGTGTGACGGAGCATCTACCGGTGGTCTTAGGATCCCCCAGGAGGCACGAGTGATGCTCACCAACGAGGGTGACTCGGGGGAGAACCCTTCCGAATGGCTTTTGAAAAACAACCAGCCAAGACATAAGAAATGAGTTCCTCTGCTCTCCAGGGATTTCCTGCCGGGAGAAGAGGTGACCGTCCTCGGCTCACGGTGAGGTCATGCTGGGGCTTCCTGCAGGACGCCAGGGCCGTGGGGACGGCAGGGGGTGGGGGTGGGGAAGCAGCTTCCGGCCCAGAACCCAGACAATAGCTGGCTGTGGGCCAGGCCACTTCCTGTGCCCCCTCCCACCTCACCCAGGCTCCCACTGGACACGGAGGGGGGAGGGGGGGGTGGCGCGGGAAAGGTTGTTAACAGAGGGAAACGTGGAGATAGTGCAAACTGCGATGGGGGGGCAGGAAGGTTGTAGGGGGGGGGGGAGTGGCCGACAACTCCTGCCCTTCCCCTGGGCAGCTGGGATGGGGCCCAGGAGCACAAGTAGATGCCGCCGTGAGATAACACGACACCCCTGAGATAACATGACAGTGGACACACATGTCTACACAGGAAAGGGATACCAGAAACAAGCCAGGCAACGCTGGAAATCCCGGAGGATGAATGGAAAGATCAGACTCGAAAATATTACGTTTTAACAAGTTAAGGTGCCTCAGAGAGGGCTCTCGAGTGCTGTGTGTGTGTGTGTGTGTGTGTGTGTGTGTGTGTGTGCTCGTGCACGTGCTTGCACAGGGATTAAGGGGCTGATGAGAGCTTGGAGCTGTCCCCCCACCCCCAATTTCAGACCCCAGAGGCCATGACTCCTGGCCTCTCCCAGGCCTCAGGCCTGCTTGTCATTCTACTAATTAACGGGGTGCTGGTTCCACACCTGAGCCCAGGGCTAGCCACCTCCCTCCCCCTCTCCCTCTTCCGAGGCCTCCGGGACGTCCATTCTCCTCTGGCAAGTCCTGGTTTCCCTAGGGAGACACCTGCCCCCTTCCCAAGCACGCCCCCAGGCCCTATGCTGTTTTTCCGCCACGCCACTGACTGCCAGCCCCTTCTGGTCACTCCTGCTTCCTTCCTCCTCCATCTCCACCGCAGAAAGGCAACACCAGCCCTTCCTTCCTCCCCTCCAGCTCCCTCTTCCTGCTCATCTGGGCGCTGACCAGCACACTGGACACAGGAGCCTCTGGGGTCCAGGCCCCATGGCGTGGCCTTCTCTGAGCCAGTACTGCTGCCAGGGACACCTCCAGGACGCTCTCCCCAGCCGCCCCCTTGCCCCCATGGCCACAGCTTGCCCCCCTCTGGTCTCTCCCCTCCTTCCCCGGCCCTAGGCCCTGCAGAAGGGCCAGTGAGGGGGAGGCTGCCAACAGCTCAAGGGCAAACGTGCCGGGTGCGGCCCCACACTCAACTTAACGGCAGGGCGCCAAAGCTGGGGACATGTGTCATGGCACCACAGGGAATGACACGGCTCACACGGACGCTGTGAGGCACGTCGGCTGGCGTGACTGTGAGCCTCCTCCCAGGCGCTGGGGCCTGTGCGGGCCACACAGGCCTCTGTCCCTCAGCCTGCTGGGCAGAGCCTCCAGAGACACAGTGCACACACGGGCTCAGTGCTCAGCACGTCACGAGGAGAAGGCTGCCACCTCAGTGGCCCAGATGTGACCTGACTGGTCTGTGCTGGCCTTAGGTGAGGCCTTGTCCCTGTCCAAACCTTGTCCCTGTATGATGGAGAACCTTACAAACAGACGGGGAGAGACAGCCCGGGAGACGGACCACGGGGACGAGATGCTGTGACAAGAAGCCCCGCCAGGAGGGCCGCGTCTTTAGGCCAGGTGCTGCTGGGGACTCTGGCAAGAGAACAGCAGGGACAGATGTTCCTGATGCCTTTAGTCTGTTTTGGTTTTAGGGCCAGGCCCGGCCACACTCAGGGGCCATTCAGCCTCGTTAGGGGTCACTCCCGGCAAGGCTTGGGGAACACGAGGTGTGTCCTGTGTGCGAAGCCTGCGCTTAGGCCATCGAGCCAGCCCCGAAGTCCCACCTTGGAAGCTCTGGGAGCCAGCCCAGCCCTGACCGCACCCCGCCGACCCCCTCCTACCTGTTCCGCAGGAAGGTCCCCGCCAGCTCCAGCAGCTCCCCCTCGGCCTCCTGGCTCAGCAAGCTCCCGGGCGCGTCCCACGGCAGCGGGCTCTCGGGGCCAGGCGGGGCCGGGAAGTCACCGAGGAAGGTGTCGAGGAAGCCCGGGATCTCCTCTGCCATCTGGCTGGTCTGCTGGGGGGCGCCGCAGGCCATGCCGGGGCATCCCGGGGCTCCAGGGAGCCTTCACTCTGGGTGAGACAGGAGGAAATAGAGTTGCCACTGACGCTCACACAGTCCGAGCTGCAAGCCAGGTCCTCTCTGGGGGAGGGGATGCGGGGTGGGGCCAGAGCCACAGTTCAGCATGTAAGGCTTTTGATTTGCCTTGCACTCGGCTGACCCAGGTTCGATCCCCGGCATCCCATACGGTCCCTCGAGCACAGCCTGGAGTGATCCCTGAGTGCAGAGTAAGGAGTAACCTCTAAGCACTGCCAGGAGTGGCCCAAAAACAAAACAGAAAACAATCTGGGCGGCCATCAGGCAGTCCATGACCCGCTCCTGGGGCCCTTCAGGTTCTGACAAGTAAACAGCGGGCAGGATGGCATGAGAGGATTTTCTGGAATCTCTGTAGACCAGATTTCTAAAGTTTGCCTGCGGGCTGGCAGCGGGAGGAAGGAGTGGGGGCCTGGACAGTGGGGAAAGTGCTTTCCTTGCAAGCGGCCAACCTGGGTTCAATCCCTGGCCTGCCAGGAGTGCAGAGTGCAGAGCCAGGAGTAAACCCTGAGCATCCAGGTGTAAGAGCAAAAAGAACAAAAGGAAGGAAGGAAGGAAGGAAGGAAGGAAGGAAGGAAGGAAGGAGAAAAGCAAGCAAGCGAGTGAGCAGATATAAACTGAAGGAAGAAGAGAAGCGTAAAGCATCTTGGGTTTGGTAGTTGGCAGCGGACCTGGTTCGAGCACTGCACGCACAGTCTCCTGAGCACCATCAGGAGTACCCCCCCAAACTCCCAGTACAGAGCTGGGGTAAGGTGCCGCCAACCACTGCCAGGTACAGCTCAACTTCGCCTCCCCCCACCTCAAATAAAAGTAGATACACAGAAAAAAACTATGGCCAGAGGAGCACCTGGAAGGGCAGGTTACGGGGCCAGACTTAAATCCATCCGCCACCCTTCACAGTTACTCACGAGCAGAGAGAAATGGGCGAGGCCCCCGGGTGGCGGGGACAGGCGGGTTTGGAGCTGAGGATGCAGAGGAAAGGGGGAGAAGGGAGCGGGGTGAGGGCAGACACTGCAGGCCAAGCAGGCCAGGCCGTGAGGAGAAGGCAGGCGGCCAGGCCAGCAGAGCCAGCATGCAGGAAGCTACTGAAAGCCCAGAGGCCAGGCTTTCAGCACAGGGTTCAGCACCTCTGAGCAGAAAAAGGAGTCAGGACCCTCTGTGCCAGGGGATGAGAAATGTGGGCAATGTAGCACATGGGGGTGACCTGATGGGAGAACAAACCCTATGCAGGCAGAGACAAAGCCTGGGGCGCGGAGCTCGCACAGCCAGAGGCCAGGGCTCCTGGGACTTCCCCAGGGCCACCATGTGGGAGAGCCCAGCATGCCCGCAGAGACAAGGGGCCTCTGCGACGGGGTGGAATGCGGAGGCTCCTCTGCTCCTCCTCGCCCTGGAATGCTGGTGCCCGCAGGGCTCCAGCCTCTGCCTGTCTCCCCCGGGCCTGGCAGCGCATGGGGAGGACGGCGGGCAGCATGGCTTCGGGAGGGATGGGTGGGTCAGGAGAGGGTAGCATGGATGCTGGCTGCACTGGCAGGAGTGAGCACTGTCTTCCTCTGGGCCTGTACCAGGGTCTGTCCTCGGCTGGTCAAAGGGTGAAAGACACTGCCATCCTCTTGCCAGCCACCTTGCAAAGCTCTGAGTGGCCACGCCGATCAGAAGCAAAGCAATCCCTGCCCTGGCGGGGGCCGCGGCTCCCAGACACGAAGATGAAATTCCTACCCTCAGGGGGCCCAGAGCAGCCCTGGGAGAGCAGGAGGGGCCCCGAGTTCACCCCCTTAACAGTGACGGAACCTCCCAGGCCACCCCTCACGGTGACGGGCTCTGGGAGGCAGCGCCTCACGCACGCCCTGGTCTCCTTCCTGCGCCCACAGCCCTGCAAGTCTGTGTCACCTGACCTGTCCCTTCCTACACCACTCTCCTGCTGACCCTGCTGCTGTGTCCAGCCTCACTCCAGGGACCAGGTGCCATCTTAGGGGCTCCAGAGCACTTCCGCTTGAATCTAACTTGCAATCAGACCGCTTTCCTTCTCTTTTCCACATTGTTATTAATTTGAACTAGCGATGTGGGTCAGTGGTAGAAAACTTGCCATGCATGTGTGATGCCCTGGGTTTGATCCCCGCTGCTGCAGGAAAAAAATTTTTTTAAATAGTTGAAAAAGAGCCAGAGTGATAGAACAGCAGGTAGGGCACTTGCCTTGCACACAGCCAACCTGGGTTCAATCCCCAGTATCCCATACGGTCCCCCATGCACCTCCAGGAGTAAACTCTGGGCACAGTCAGGTAGGCAGGGCCCAAAAAGCAAATAAATAAATAAGTTTCAAAATAGTCAAGAAATAGTTGAGGGGTTAAAGCATTTGCCTGGTATGTGGCCAACCCTGGTTCAATCCCTGCACCACACAAGGACAGGGGTAAGCTGGATGTGGCCAAAAAATATTTTTTCCCTAGTGACTAGTTTTGACTTAGAAGCTAAACTAGTACTGATAGTACTGCATTTTCCACCTAGGTGGTATGGACATATTTTGTCTAATTTCAGAACTTATTGAAAGAGAAAATCAGAAACTTTAGAAAAGGAAACTGGATTACTGTCAGGCAATGATCAGATTTACCATCAAGTATTTTTTACAAAGGGGGAAACAATGTGCCCACCTTCTTCTTCTCTCTTTCTCTCCCTCTTCCTCCCTCACTCTCTCCCTATCTCTCTCTCTCTCTGTTTGCAGCCACATCTTGTGGTGCTCACGGGCTACTTCTTGTTCTGAACCCAGGGCTCCAGCTTACAGCATGTGCTTTAGCCCCTGGGTATCTCTCCAGCCCCAATCCAATTCCTTTATACAAACCAACCACTAGGAAGAGTTTGGCATAAATCCTTCCAGATCCTTCCCTACATCTATTTCAAAGGAATGGGGCTGGAGAGATAGTACAGCAGATAAGACACTTGTCCTGCACATCACTGATCCGCGTTTGATCCCTGGCACCACATATGGTCCCCACCAGGGGGTCACTTCTGAGCCATGAGTCAGGAAAGGAAGGGTGAGCACGGAAGGAAGGGTGTGGCCCCAAACCCAAAAAGAAACAAGAGTTGGTGACAACATTTATGTAATATAAGAGTGCTCAGGGCCCCGCTTATGTGTGTCCATCTGGGACAGAACTGACACTGGGCAGTGACCAGGCCTGGCTTCCCACCCACCACACCTGGGCCTGCTGGAAGCCACTTATAGCACAGGAACTGCAGGGGCCTAGGTGATGTTCTGGGAGGGGCGTCCCGTCCTTCTCCCCTGACCAGCGGCGGCAAGGTGGGCTGCTATGCACAGCCTGAGGCCTGGATCTCCCACAGAGGAAGCAAGTCTCATGGGCAGGGGTTCTATGGGGAACATGGGGGGGCTCTGCCTGGCACTCCTCCCCCCACTGAGCCCTTAGAGAGGCAGAGAGGGGACTAGCTCCCGGAGGCCAGGCCACCTTCAGGATGACCAGGGAGGAAGCAGAAACGCCCACCCCGCCAGGGGTCTCTGGGTCTCCTCTGTGGCTTCAGCGAAGACTGAACACAGGCTAGAGAGGCCAGAAGTGAGGTGGAGATGATGCCTCCCACTCGGACCCAGGGCCCCCAGGCTGGAGGATCGCCCAGGGCACCCTCTGCAAAATGCGAGGGCCTGTGGCCTCGGCCACGTGTCTCTGTGGGGTGGGAGGATGTCGAGGAGGGGCCCCTCACCTGGGCTAGACCTGCCGGCATCAGCTCAGGCCCTAGATCAACAGCTCCACACGCAGGCACAGAGAAGTCAGGAGGTTCCCCGTGTGCCCGAGGTCACACTGCACAGAGGTGGCGCCCCTCCCTCCCGGCGGGGAAGGGGAGGCACGCCCACAGGGTCCTGAAACACCCCGGGGAGAGGGCCCCGGGGTGCCGCCAGGTGCACGGGCGAGTGGGCGGGGGTCTGGGCGGGGGCGAGCTACCGGCTCCCGGCGCGGGAGCCCTCGGCACGCCACGCTCCTTCCCCGGGCTCGGCCACACCCCGCGGGCACCGGGAGCCCCCAGTCCTGCCCTCGGGGCACCCGTGCCCCAGCCTCCCCGCTCGGTCCCTCCGCTCCGGGCAGGGCGCGCTTTGGCGTCCCCGCGTCTCCACCCCTGCTCCGTCCCCTGTGCTTTCTCGGCGCCCGGCCCCACCGCTGCCCGCCCCGCGCCCCGCGCCCCGCGCCCCGCGCCCCGCGCCCGGCCTCACCCGCCGGACCGCAGCTCCGCGCCCTACTCGCCGCTCCGGCCGCGGCCCCGCCCACTCCCCTTCCGGGCGGCCAGGCGCGGCGCAGGCGCACTCGGGCTCCGGCGGCGCGGCCGGGCCTCGGCTGCCCCCTGGCGGCCGCCAGGGACCCTTTCGGGAGGAGACACTCCTGCACCCCCCTCGGCCGCGCGAGCCGCTCCAGGCGCGTGGCCCGGAAGCCCGCGTGCAGCCTGGGCTCTGGAGCCAGACTGCTCTCACGTCTGCAGTGCTGGCTGGTCGTGTGGACCGGGAGAGGCCCCATCCCTGCACCCTGCACCCCGGGGCCCGGAAATGAAGCCACCTGCCTGGCCAGTAGCTGATAGGAGACCCCTGCCCGGTTACCCACCATCCTTCAGACCCGACCTCAGTGGCCAGTGGCCCTATTGGTTTCCCGTTACTGCTATGACAAACTGTCTTCAATTCACAAACGTCTGTTGTTTACAGTCCTGGAGGTCGGAAGTCCAGATGGCCTCCAGAGGTAGGCACAGGGGGAGCTAGGCAGGCCGGGAATTTCTTCCCTGGCCTTACAAGCTCCTAGGACCACCCCCACTCACAGCTCCATCCGCGGCATCAAAGGCAGGAACCTGGGGAGCAGTCCTTATGTGTCCACCTCTCTGCTCCCCTCTGGAGCCCTATTCCAACTTTTCCCTTTTTGGAGGACGAGCTCCCAGAGGTGCTAGAAGGGGACTCCCCACCCCCCATAAGACTTGAGGTTACATCCTTGGACATTTACCTTCTCACTCAAGCATCAGTTTCCTTTCCAGGAAAACAGAGACAGTAGCAACCAACCCATCTCCCACGGTTGTGGTGAGACCCTCCTTCTGCGATTCCCCAGGTGTCCCTTTCCTATCTGCATCTCAGTGATCACAGGGTGAAATTTGAGATGCCCCAGTTGCACCCACAGCTACTACTGAGGCTACTGGATCGTTCTAGTGCCCCTAGGGGGACAATCTCACTCCTTGTTTTTTGTGCCACACAGGGATGCTCAGGGCTTACTCTTGGCTGTGCTCAGGGCTCACTTCTGGCAGGACTCAGGGGGATCATCTGGGGTGCTGGGAATTGAACCCGGTCATCAGCATCATGCAAGGCAAGTGTCCTGCCCCCTGCACTCCCCACTCGAGAAACAGTCCTTGAGCCTGCAGAAGCCAGGTCGCCTTCCTAGGAGAGGGAGTCTGCGTCCATGCACAGTCTCTGAGCTTGCAGTGGAAGAGCAGCGGCCACCACGGGTGTGGGCTTGCTGCTGGCCCTGGATCTGACCGGTGTGGCTGGGAAGGGGCCTTTCCCACTAGCCTCTCTCTGAACTCCCGAGAAATTCCCAGACTGTCCCAGGGAGAGTGGGCGGGCCTGTTGTGGCCTCCAGCAATGGGGCTCAGTGGGCACAGGAGTGAGTGACTGGGGGCAGCCTTGGGCTTATCAGCTAAAGCTCTTAGAGCCTGAATTCTCACCAGAAACAGGAATCACCTCCCCTCCCCCATGCAAATGCTTCTGCTATGCCCCTCACTCAAGTGTTCCACAGAGCAGCCTCTGCTCCTCGGGGAGGCACGGGTGGGAGTGGGGTTGCACTCTGTGGCCACATGGCTTAGGGGGTATCTGCTGATGGGCCCAGTGGGACGCCCTGGCCCTGTGCTGCACCCCCACCCCCCACTTCCTGGAAGTACTGGGCAGCCTCTGTGTGGAAACAAGGGCCTGTTTGAGAAGAAGAAACAAAGGAACCCTGGAGGCTGCAGGGTCATGTGGGGGCAGCACACAGAGCCGCTAAGCAGGGACAGTGGGGTCTGACCCTGGGCATGGGACAGGGTGAGGGCCTGTCAGCAAAGGCCTCTCAAGCCCACCGCCTCCCACATCCTGCAAGGCAGTGGAGCCGGGTGAGGGGCCACCAGGTCAGGGCCTCCTGCTGGGCCAGGGTGGGACCCAGGCACCTAGAGGTGTTCCAGGTGTAGCGAGCGGCCATCCTGGGGTCCAGCTAGGACAGGCGAGGGAGTTGGGGGTCCGCTGACACCAGAGAAGGTCTGCAAGGGTTCACTCTGAGGACAGATGTGTTTTAATAGTTTCCAGGGCCCAAGGGCAGTGGCGGGGGATCCACGGAGAAGGCGAGGCTATTACAGGAAGTAGGCAGCTAGAGCTGACATCTTGTCCTTGGGCCGTCGGGCACTGGGCTTCCCCGGGGGCCGTCGCCCCCGGCCCCGGCCTCGGCCCTGCCGCCTCCCCGGGCCCCCACGGTGCATGGGGTGGCAGGAAGCGGCGTGCTTCAGCTCCACCAGCTCTTGGAAGACAGGGTCGCAGAAGACGCAGCCTGTATGCTGTGTGTCGTCGCCGGGCAGTGGGGACTTGGCCTTGTTGAAGTCCACGTCGAGCAGGGCTGCCTCACAGATGCTGCAGGTGTCAGGGGACACGCGCACACGGTGCGCATTCTCGAAGCAGTGCGCCACCACGTTGCACTTGTTGCAGGCCACCTTCCACTTGGGGCCGGAGGTGGGGTCCAGCACCAGCACCCCGCTCTCGCACTCCACGCACTGGCCGATGCCCAGCATGCTCAGCGAGTGCTGGCAGGTGGGGTGTGTGCACTCGTTGCAGCCCATGCCTGCAGGGAGAGGGCAGCCTGGGGTGTGCGCCCACAACCGCCACCAGGACCCCTCGCCCTGCAGAGACTGCTCCCCTGCTCCTACTCATCTAGGGCCTGGGACCTGGGGGGGGTCCCTCCCTGGGAGAATGCTGCCCCAGGCCCTCTGGGCACCCAGATGCCAGGACTGCCCTGGTGGAGTGGGCTGATGCCTCCCTCGTGTCTCCCAGAGTCAGGGGTGAGCAGAGCGTACAGGACACAGTACAGCGGGAAGCACGACTGGCCCAGGTCTGCCCAGACTCTGGGCTCAGTGCTCTGGGCTGTCGCGGAACACACACTCTCCTCTGGGCACTCCTCTCAGCGGACGGGGCTCACTCACACCTACTGCATTTTCTCCTTCAGCCCAGCCAAGGAGGGGACCGAGCACCCCCCAGGGCCCAGATCCCGAGCCAGCTGACCACGGTGTCCCGCCCAGTTATGACCTGGACTGGAGGGACAGGCAGCTGCTATGCTGGGGTCTTCTGTCTTGGGTCCACTGGGCAGGAAGGGCCAGGAGTGGGGACCCCTCGGAATCCAGCCCGGTGCGAGACTGCACAGAGACCACGGGTACCTGGGGGTGGGCAGCTGAGGCCGGGGACACGGGGCTCACCTTTCTTCATATCTCGGAAGGGTGGGTGGTTGGAGCAATAGGGGCACAGTGGGTAACTCTTGCCCCGAGAGCCCGAGGACCACAGGACCAGCTCGAAGTCATCCAGGGGGCAGCGCAGCTCCTTGTAGAGCTTGATGGTGCCGTTCTGGGGCAGGGTGTAGGTCTCGTCGCAGTGTGAGCAGTGCAGGCGGCTGGGCTTGGCCTGCAGCAGCCAGGGGAGAAGTGAAGCTGCAGGGACCCCCAGCCCCTGCCACGCTTGGTCCCCTCACAGGAACAGCAGGTGAGGACAGCAAGTGACACACAGTGCCGACCCAGAGCAGGACACAGAGTACACGACACACGATGCACAAGTCTGTACACATGTGTCCACAAATGTATGGAAGAAGACTACGCTCACAGAGTATGTGCGTAATGCCTGATTACTGATGCATTTTGTTTTGGTTTAGGGCCACATCTGGTGGTGCTCAGGGCTTACTCCTGGAGGGGTCTGGTAGGCCATCTATGCTGCTGTGGATTGAACCTGGGTCGGCTGTATGCAAAGCAAGCACCTTAAACCCTGTACTATCTCTCCAGCCCAACACTTTTAGACCTGATCAGAATACACAGCATGCAACAGCCGAAAACCTGATACTCGCTATGCAGCCAAAGTCTGGGCCTGGACCCAAGACTCTTGCTACATGCAGGAAGAAAAGCATTTTTCCTCATTTACTTTTCTAACTTTTGGTTTTCTATTTTGAACCCAGGGCCTCAACTGTGCAAAGTAAGTGTTCTACTTCTGACCTACCTTCCCAGCCCCAGAAAGGCAGTTTTAAAATCCCTCCATGTAGCTTGATCCCCATAAGCACACAGATTACATTCTTAAGAAACAATAGGCAGGGGTTGGAGAGACAGTACAATGTTAAGGTGCAGGCCTTGCACTGGGCTAACCCAGGTTCAATCCCTGGCACCCAGATGGTCCTCTGTGCCCCACCCGGAGTAAGCCCCGAGCACTGCAGGTATGAACCCCAAACCCAAACCAAACCACACAGCGCACAATGTGCTGGAGTAGTCTGGGGTCATGCCAAACAGCAAGGACGTGCTGACGAAGGTGCCCAGTCCTTCTTCCCAGCCAGGTGGTCACAGCCCTCCCACCTACCTACCTGGATATATTTCATGAACCGGTGGCACTTCCCGCAGCGGGAAAGAGGCTTCCCCGTGGCCGCCAGCGGAGAGAAAGACACCTCCATCAGTTCATCCATGCCTGTAAGCAAACAGTTCAGGAGGCTGCCACCATCTGCAGGAAGCGGACCCTATGGGCTGCAGCCACTGGCCAAGTCCTCGTGGGCGTGAGCCAGTGGGCCTGCACTCCTGCCTGCAATGCAACCCTCACAATGGCCCGGCCCTGGGACCGGCCAGCATCGCCTCAGCCTCTAGACACAGGCCTGGAGCCCAGTCGTGTCCTGGGAACAGCTCCGGTGGGGTCGTGCTGGCGATCAAGCTGGCGAGAAGGAAGAGGCCGGTCTTACCAGCGATGGAGTCGACGAAGTAGTGGAACTTCCTTTTGAAGATGTCTAGGGTGTGGCCCAGGACCTGGCGGTAGTCGGCCTTGCCCTGGGCAATGAGGTTCAGCTGCTTCTCCACGGCGCTGCGGATGGTGGGGAGCACCAGCTCTGCATCTGAGCGGGGGTGCCGCCGTGAGCTCAGACAAGCCGCCCCGGGGCCCTCCTCAGCTCTCGTACCCAAGGATCTGGTGTGGCACAGCCAGGGGCACCCTGTGTCCAGGGGTCACAGACAGTCCCTGAGGGCTCTGGGAACAGAGCAGACGGCACTCCACGAGGAGTGTCTGACGGGAGCTGAGGGGCATTGGGTGCCTCTTTCCTCCCCTCTGGGCGCTTGGCCCAACCAGGGTGGCTGCAGCCCGCTGGGAAGGGTCTGGGGGTGGCCGATGCAGCTCCCTGTCAGTGGGGGGGGGGGGGGTGTGGGCTGGTGGGTGCAGAGTCCCCCTGGCTGGACTCACCGATCTTGTAGTAGCCGTGCACCAGCACGATGCCGAGGTTGGTGGGCTTGAGGCGGCGGCCGCTCTCCACCGTGACATAGTTGCGCTGACAGATGTTGTTGATGTGCACGGGGATGCTGGCGTCCGTGCCTGGAACCACAGCAAGATGCTCCTTGGCCTGCCCCGAGCTCCCCTCGACCCGTCTGTCGTGGGCCCTCCCTCCCCTGGACACTCTCATGGCCCCACCACCACTCTTTCCGTGCCAGGTGCTCATTCCAGATTCAAGAATGAGGGGGCTAGAGTGATAGCACAGCAGGTAGGGTGTTTGCCTTGCATGCGGCCGACCCGGGTTCGATTCCCAGCATTCCATATGGTCCCCCGAGCACTGCCAGGAGTAATTCCTGAATGCATGAGCTAGGAGGAACCCCTGTGCATCGCTGAGTGTGACTCAAAAAAACAAAAAGAAAAAAAAAATGAGGCGGCTCAGAGAGGTCAAGGCACTCTACTCTGCCAGGGCCACAGAGCTTGCTCATCTTGTGAGTGCTCAGTCCCTCCTGCCTTGACCCTGGGCACCCAACCCTCCTGGAGCCAGGGCCTGAGCCCCCACACTTACTGCAACTCATCCCCGCCAAATCCCAGGCCTGCTTTACCCACTCCTGGCTTCCAACAGCTCCCTTGCAAAGCCTCCTTGGCAGGCACTCAGGACCGAGCAGTGAGGCCACCATTCTCACAGCACGAGCGCAAGATCCAGATGTGCACCCCACGTGGTGGGCTCCATGGCCAGCTGAGCAGGCCCCACGTGACCCTCTGGGGCTCAGCCGTTCTCGCTGCTTACCCCTAAAGCCAGGGAGGCCCCAGCAGACTGGCACCCGCCTGGGCGGAGCCGGCACACTGCTGCCTTTACCACTGCTTGTTCCGGCCCCACAAGAGCCTTCCCTACTGTCGCCTACTTGCCCTGGTGACAGTGCCCACTGCTCATGTCCCATCCACGGGGGAAGCATACACCATGGTCAATGTTCTAGCCATGATGCCCGCAGCAGGCAGTGGACAGGATGGGTCCAGCTCCCCACTCCACCCACTCCATCTCCAGGACCCAAATTTGGGGAGATACTTGGTGAGAGCTGCCTGCAGGACAGGGGAGGCACAGAGCCCAGGTGCAGAGGCTGGCTGTCCCTCGGCCCTCCAGAGAGAGCAGTGGCAGGAATACAGGGACACGGGGGCAGAGGGCCAGCACAGACGGCAGGGGCAGGGCCTGCCTCGCATGGGAGACAGCATCAGCGTCTGCGCCCTTGGCTGCCATTTCACCGGGGACCCTCTGCTCACTGCCCAGGAGCGTCCTGGCCCTGGGCGGGCTTCTCTGCTCCCCTCACAGGGAAGTGGCATTTTGGTTCCTTGTTGCCTGATTCCAGGACAGACCCAGGCTGGTGGTGTGGGCTCAGAATTCCAATCTGACTTTTTGTGTTTTTCCTATACACTCGTGAATCACGTGGCATCCCAGGTCCACAGTCAGCCTCGCGGCGTAGCAGAAATGAGGTGCCTTCCGAGGCCAGGCCGGCCGGAGGCGTGGGCCTCAGTTAGGTGCGCCAGCTCCCGCGGGCACCCACCGATGCCGTGCTTCTCCATGAGCGTGATGAGCTCGGCCTCCGTCAGGTAGTCAGGTGGGCTCGTCTGCTTCTCCAGCATCTTCACCTCGCCCACAGGGAAGGTGTCCCCCTTCTGGCAGGTGGGCAGGCTCTCCTCCAGAGGTATGCTCTGCCAGGGCATGATGTCCGTGAATCCTGACGAGACAGGGCAGCCCTGAGACCCTGGGCCTCCTGGGCCCGGCCGGGGTGGGCAGAGGCAGTGTGGGAGCTGTGGCTCTACCTGGGGAGATGACGGTCTTCCCAGTGCAGGAGAAGCGCTCGGGCCCGATCCGGAAGGAGATGGAGCTCTGCAGGTACTTGCAGTCGTAGCTGACGGTGGCAATGAAGTGCCTGGTGATGTACTCGTAGAGCCGCCACGCCTCGCTCCCTGTAACGGGCACACGGGAGGTCAGTGGCCAAGGTGCCAGAGCCGCTGTGGCCTGAGGGCGGAGGGACAGGATGGCGTCCCCAGGGTCTTTACAGCCCCCTCAGGCCTGTGGCTTGCACCTCACACATTTCCTTCCAAGTGGGACCACTCTCCAGGGGGGCCACCCACCCCCACACCCCCAGGCGTCGTCTAAGAGGCTCCTCCCCCTCTGCCTGCTCCCAGCGCATGGGCACCGGCCCTTCGAACAGGTGGGAAGCAGGAGGGGCACCCCTGGGTGATCCTGGTCACTGTCTGACCCCATCTCCACTTGTCCCGCCAACCCACCGCCCCCTCACCTCCTGCGCCCCTTGCTCCTGTGTTTCCTGAGAACCTGGCCCTTGGACAATGCCCTCCCTTTCCTGCCACATTTCACTCCTGTCCCTGGCCCACAGCCGCAGAGCACAACTCCCAGGGGCAAGAGGGGGGCAGGAAGAAGCTCCCAGATTGCCAAGGGGGTGGGGAGGAGCATAGCACAGCAGGAGGGGCGTTTGTCTTGCATGCAGCCCACCTACTTCAAACCCCAGCATGACATATGGTCCCCTGACTACCACCAGAAGCAATCCCTGAGTGTAGAGTCAGGAGCAATCCCTGAACACTGCCAGGTTGGCAGAAAAACAAACACACAAAAACCCTCCCCAGAACTCCACCCATACCGCCAAGGGACGGACACCTTCCGGGTGCCAGTCTGTGGCGCTTCTTGCCCTTCCTTCCTGGGGGAGTGCCTGGTGGTGGGCAAGGGGTGCCCCCTACCTAATTCGGCCTCGGTGGCAGCCCTCATGGGGGTGATCGGGGGGTGGTCACCAGCGTCGTGGCCTTTGCGGGGGCGGTTGATGCCTTCTGCTAACAGCTGCTTCACCTGAGGCAGAGAAGTCTGTGCTAGCACAGCTGCTCCCCAGGCCTGCTGGGCCAGAGACCCTGGGGCAGGGGGCGTGGGCGACCTCCCCAGCCCCTGCTCACCGTGTCGGCCCAGTAGGGGTGATTGGCCTGCTGTCGAAGGGGCCCCTTCAGGTCAAAGTTCTCAGGGTAGTGCGTGGTCTCGGTCCGCGGGTAGCTGATGTAGCCTTGTGTGTAGAGCCGCTCAGCGGTCTGCATGGCATGCTGGGGCCCCATGCCTGTGAGGGAGAGGGGCCGGTGGGGCACTCAAGCACCCACCAAGGAGGGGATGCTGCACCACGAGGCGGGGCTCTGAGCAGGCCCGGCAGGAGACAGAGCTGTTGTCCGGGCACCTGGTCTCCAGATCGGGGCCCTGGACCTGCAGGGGGCACAGGACAGGGCTGTGGGCCCCCGCTGACTCTGGCCCTGGGGCGAGTGGCTCCTGGGTCTCCAGCTGTCTGGCCAGACCTAGCATCCACCCTCTGCTGGAGCCCCTCAGCGTGTCCCCCATGACACTTGAGGACAAGGACTGAGGGCTGCCCCCGTCTCCCGTTAGCAGAGGTTGGCCCTCAGCTAGCAGACATGCCACTGTCATCCTGTAAAGACCCTGGAATCTCTGTTCTGAGAGAACAGTGCTCTCGGCTTCCTGAGGCCTCACAGGAACCACCATATCTTCAGCCAGACAGTGGTCAGACACTGCAACTTTCCACATGAGTATGTGTGTGTGGGGGGAGGGGTGACATCTGTGTTATAGGAGATGGAGGGGCACCTGGCACAGGGAGAGCACAGAGCTGCCCTGCATTCCCAGGCCCTGGCAGGGTTCCCCTGCACCTCACAGAAGTCGCAACTTTAAAGAAACGTCTCCCACACATACCCAGGGAAGAGCTGGCCACGCGCAGCATCTCCACGGTGTTCAGGGCCAGGGGCCTCTGCTTGGCCTTCTCCTTCCTGCTTGTGGACTCCACCTAGTAGAAGAAGAGACTCTGCGTCCTGGCCAGCAACAGGTCGGTGGCAGCAATGCCACAAAACCATGAAGGTGTCATCCGTCTGCACTTCATGTGCCTCCAACTCCCTCCTTCCCAGCACTTGAGCAGAGACTTGGTGGAATATTTAATTTAGGTTCACAAAGGGAAAAATGAGAGGTTTTTTTTTCTAGAGGATATTCCCAGGAAAGAGATAACCTAAGGAACGGTGGAAAGGCCAGAGGTGACTACCAAAATCCCGCAGTGGCCACGGGATGGCAGTGAGGTCTGGGGGAGGCCACGAAGCACAGGCCCCTCAGGGGGACCTACCTGCCCTGCTGGGCGCCAACGCCGCCCTGCGGAGTCAGAGAACTGCTCTGCCTTCCAGCCTGTCACAAGAGGCTAGAGATCAGGTGTTTTATGTGAGATCTCATCATTTACACATGTGGCAATGGTTTCAAACCTTCTGTAAATACTGGCAGACAAGCTGGTCCTGTCCCTCGTAACTAGCAGGAGAAACAACAGTTTGGTCTGGGGCAAAACTGACCCAGGACACTGAGGCTTTGTGCCTGCCCATGTTGGGTGGACCTGGCCAGGTGGTATCCTCTGGATTCCAGACAAAAAAATGTGGGGCCCAGCCCTGGGAGATTCTGAGTGTGCAACAGTGCAGGTAGTTACATGAGAGCAGCTTTAGGAAACGTTCTGGAAGTCCAAGGCATCTGCCTGGAGGGGTGAGAGGCACCCAAAGAAGGCTGGGACAGGACAGGGGAGGCAGCTAAAGGAGGCCACAGACTCTGGTGGATTCACAGCTAGAATGTCTTTGCTGCAATGGCTGGGGATCTGCCCTCTTGCCAGGGGGCATCCCGGCCAAGCATCGCCTGTCCTTCAAATCAAACTTCAAATGTAAGAAATATAATGACAACAGAGACCAGGGCCTGCAAAAAACTGTGGCAAAAACTGTGGGCCCCAATCACCCCCTGCACCTGTGTGTGACACTGGCTAGGTCGCTGAGGCGCACGCAGAAAAGGACAGGGAATGGATTCCTGACAAAGGGAGGTGAGGCCCGGGGTGATGTGGAAAGGCGACAGTGGAAGGGGCTGGCAGGTGGCTCAGGCATGGCACACAGTGGCTCCCATTATGCTGAGGGTGCCGGCAGGAGTCTAAGTGTGCTCAACCATTCTTTCTAAAAGATGCCTGCTCCCACTGGGGGAGACGGACATGACCTACTCTTCCAACTGTTGCTCTAGGCAGGGATTTCCGCCCCCACCCCAGGAAAAGGAGGTGAATGGAGCAACCCACCAGGGCTTCCTTCTCCAGCTTGGTCATGTTTAAGAACATCTGCGCGATCTCCCGGTCGAACACTCGCACCCGGTCCCAGTCCAGAAGGAGGCTTCTGTCTTTATCCACGTCCACCTGCAGGGAAAGGACAGAAGGCACAGGAGAAAGTGCCAGGTAAGCCCACTACAGGGAGAAGAGCGGGCAGGGCAGGGGATGCTGGTCTCTCTGTGGCTACAGTCCTCCTGCTGCATCTGGGCAGGAGTCTCCTGGTGTGTCAGACAGTCTCCTGGCTACAGTATCCCAGTGTGTCTGGGCTACAGTCTCCCCATGTCTGCAGCCAGTTTTCCAGTTGTGCCTGTTGCTACAGTCTCACAGCCCCGCCCAACAGCAGGCAGAGGTCAGCACAGGGTCCGAGGGAAACCCAAAGTGAACTGACAGATCTTTAAGGTGAGTCCCATTCTCCACTTTCCACCTCATCACTGACCACTCATCAATCCTGGCCAGCACTAGGACAGCCCCACCCCTAATCTACCAGATGAGTTCTGTATTATAAATCCTTTTTTTTTTTTTTGGAGGGGACATAACACCCCACAGTGCTCAAGACTTACTCCTGGCTCTGTGCTCAGGGATCAATCCTGACAAGCTTGAGGGACCATATGGGGTGCTAGGGATCAAATCCTGGCCGGCCATGTGCAAGGTAAGTTCCCTCCCTGCTGTACTGAGGTGCCCATATGTTCTAAGTCTTGAGAAGCTCCCATGGAGGATTTTACCTGCAGGAAGGATCTCAAAGTCTGAAAGTGATCTAAGAGCCAGTGGAGTCCTGGGGCCTGACCACAGCAACCACAGCAGCTGATACTCCCGCATGGGCGACCTCCCCGCATGTGGTCATTCCTGCTCATCCAATGCTTCCAGGACTAGCACTAACCTGCCCAAATATGAAGGCTGGGATCCCTTCCCTGGGCAGCCCACAGACCCGTTCTCTTGCGTCTCTCCTCTGGTCTGCTGTCCACACTTGTGTCCTGGACCTTGAGGGTGCAGAACTATGATGAAGGAGGACTCTCAGAATCTTTATCCCAGACCTGCTGAGTGTCGGTGTAAGTAACAAAGGGAAAGTGAACCTTGGCCTGCAGCACCCAGTAGGTCTCCGGTTTGAAGGACTGGATTTTATCGTGTCTCTCCACGCAGAAGCCCAGGGTAGGGGTCTGGCAAGGCCCAAAGGAGATGAGGGAGCTGTCAAGATTGCCGTATTTGCCTTGGAAGTACTTGGTCTGAAATCTGCAAGGAAGGGGAGACACAAAGGAGACAGTCTGTCAAGCTCAGTGTGAGACCGTGTCACTGACGGCCTATGAGGCCCAAGGCAGGGGCTCCCTGCTCAGACTCGTGGGCAAGAGGACCTGCTCGGCACGGGTCTGCAGAGGAGGAATCAGGGAACTATGCACGACAGGACGGAGGAGAGAAGCACAGGCCCTCGTGCACCCCCTTTACCTCAAGACCTGCAGTGTGAACAGTGCGCTTCAAGTACCTGGCTGTGTGGTCTGGGTCAGTTAAACAGTTTTCTTCAGGGTTGGTTTATCTATCTCTAAACTCAGGTTTGGGGTTTGGGGGCACCCCTGACAGTGCTCAGGGGTCATTCCAGGCACTGCTCAAGGGACCCTACGTGCTGTGAGGATCAAACCAGGCAAGTGCTTTAAGCCCTGTACTGTCTTTCTGGCCCCCTGAGGTTTTAGCTCTATGGCAACCACCTATGGAGGAGCAGGTCCGGGGCGGTCAGTACCTGGTGAAGGCACAGCCTATGCGCAGGTCCAGCTCCTGCCGGGCATCCACCGAGAGTGCCTCGTTGTGGTCTGGCTCGCCCAGGCAGGCCATGGCTTTGCAGATGTCTGTGTCGGTGATGGAGCTGAACCTGGCCCGGAACACGGTCTTCTCGCTGCTGTGGGCCTGGTTCATGACGGGCAGCACGGCATCCAGGACCTGCGGAAGGCCGCCAGTCTCTCACCTCGCCTCCTGGGAAGCCTGCCTCCTCTCGGCCCTCTCCTGCCACCGGCTCGCCTCTGCCTGCCTGTTCCAGGTCCACCAGACCAGGAAATGCCAAGGACGTGGGGGCTCTGGCCCACCCTGCTCACCCTCTCTTGAAATCCCACCTTCCCAGACAACGATGTGCTGGGAAGGGGGTGAAATTCTGTGAAAGGAGAAGACGGGGCAGTAGGCACAAGGCAGAGGTAGGTACAGGCAACCCTCGCCTGAGGGCCTGCTTGGGGCACTCAGGGCCCAGCACAGTGGGGGTCCTGGAGCCAAGACTAAGTAGCCTATGCATGGGACGGGCCACGCAAGAGCCCAGCCATGCAGCGTCTTTACAGGGGAGCGGCTTCCGTTCTGGGGGAGAGAGCCCTGTGAGCTGCCCCGCTTCTCCGGGCCCAGGCTCAAGGCGCCCCTCCCCCCCCCCCCCCCCCCCCCCGCAAGGGAGGAGCAGCCTGGTCCGGAGAGAACAGGAGTGGGGGTTCTGGGAAGAGACTCTGTTTGCTGAGGGTGCAATGCTGGAATGTGGGGTGACCCACGCGTCCCCACTGTGCTGGGGAGAACTGAGGATGCAAAGGCAGGAGAGTAACCTGCCGTCACTGGTCCCTGCTGCCCCCAGGGCGGCCTTCCTTAGGCTGGGCTGCAGGGGCCCATGAGAAGATGAGGTGGGCAGGGGGCCCCCGCAGGGTGTCTGCCAGCACAGTATGGGCACGAGTGAGGGGGGGCCCCGGGCAGCCAGGATGTGGTGAAACACCCTCTCTTGAAATCCCGCCTGCCCTTCGCACCTTGGCCCACATATGTGCCCATAGCAAGGGAGCTCAGATGCCCACCCTCTGTAGAGCTGCGATTTATGAACTACCTAGAATTTCCACAGGAAGGGGGGGACGAGGCACTTCTTGGCTAATGGAGCTGATGACCTCCAGGTATGGTGGGACCGCAAGTGGCAAGCTGGAATGGATGGCAGAAAGGCCTACAAGGACCCCCGTGGGCTCACCCCTCACCTCAAAGCAGATGTTCTCCCCCTCCTTGTCACAGTCCAGCCACAGCACGATGTAGTCACAGCCTTTGCCTTCGACCTGCACACATAGAGGGTGACTCGCACCTGCCACAGCCTGGGACCCCTGCTGGTGCAGGGAGTGGGCCCAGCTCCCAGTCCCATGTAGGAGCACTGTACCCAGAGTGGCCGTCAGGCTGGCAGGGCAGCTGGCTGTGCTAGGCTGGCTTAACCACCGAGCAAATGCTTAATTCAGACCTGCTCTTAGTAGTTAAAAAAAAAAGGCAACCACCACTAGACAGATGATGATCTTCACCCTCAGACCTGCAGAGACGGGCCAGAGCAATAGTATAGAAGATAGGGCATTTACCTTGCATGCGGCCGACCCGGGTTTGATCTCTGGTATCCAATATAGGGACATCTCCTGAGCACTGCCAGGAGTAACCCCTGAGCATTGCCAGGTGTGGTCCCAAAACAAAACAAACCACAGAGAATGATCCTAAAGTGAGATAACGTGTAAACAGCAGTTGTTTCGGATTGTGTATTTATGTCTCTGCTACTTTGACCTTCATTTTAGTTTGGTTTTGGGTAATAGCTGACAGTTCTCATGGGCTACTCCTGGCTCAGTGCTCAGGGTGGCTAAAAGTAGTGCTGGACATGTGGCAGCAGGGCCCAAATCCGGGGCTCCTGCACACACAGAATGAACTCTAGGTCTCAAAGTCATCTCTCTGGCCCCTCTTCTACCTTTGTTCGTTTGCTACAGTTTTTGGGCTATACCTGGTGATGCTCAGCGGTTACTTCTAGCTCTCAACTCAGAAATCACTCCTAGCAGTGCTCAGGGAACTATACAGGATGCCAAGGATGAACCCTGGGTTGGCCACATGCAAGGCAAATGCCCTCCCTACTGTACTCTCTCTCTGATCCCTCCTTTTCTATTTTTAATATTTTTCAAAATGCATCTGAATTTGGTTTTTGTTTTTATTGAGTCACACCTGGCGACGCTTAGGGGTTACACCTGGCTCTGCGCTCAAGAATTACTCCTGCCGGTGCTCAGGAACGATGTGGGATGCTGGGGCTCAAACCCGGATCAGCTGCATGCAAGGCAAACGCGCTAACCGCTGTACTATCGTTCCAGCTCCTGAATTTGTTTTATAACTAGAAAAACCACTACCAACAACAAAGCAACAATTTTTGGTCTGTTTGGTTTTGGGGGGACCCTCCCAGCTGTGCCTGGCGCCAGCAGGCTATAGGTGAAATGCAGTGTCGCTCAGCCACAGTGCTGGGGGCCCACCAGGGCCACACCCAGCAGGGTGTGTGTTGGGGAGATGGCGGTGGCGTGTGGAGCCTCACACGTGCCAGGCAGGTGCTCCACCACTCTGCACGATCTCCCTGGCCCAAGGAATGACTTGAAAGCATTCCTGTTTCCCAGGGCTGGCTGTGTTGGCGGGGAGGAGCAGGCCTGCAGGGAAAAGTCCTCCCAGTCCAAAATGGGGTGAAGGACTCCTGATAGCAGCCATGGTGCGGGAGCCATCACCCGCTCACGCACCTGCAGGAACTTCACCATGTTCAGCTTGGGGTTAGCCTCCTTCTTCTCTGTCGGAGCTTGGCTGAAAAGCTCTGCGGGGTCCACCTTGTCCCACTTGTTGTACTTCCCTACAGACCACAGGAAAAATGACATCGTACCAGCTTCCTCCACTCAAAGTGCTTTCCCTCAAGGGTTGTCAGAACCCTAGAATAATGGTGCCGGTCTGGTCTAGTCTGGGAGAGGAAGGTTCAAGCCTTCGAGCTGGCAGCGGGAAGGCAGCTGCAGCCTGGCTCCTGGTGGGCCTTTGTGGCTGGAAGCTCCGCTCTTGGGCTGGCTTGGATTTCAGGAACTCTCCCCTGACCCAGCACTTGACTGCAGGCACAGGACAGGCACTCAGGTGATGCCCAAAGAGAACTGATGTGTGGACTGAGCATCCTGCACACCTGCTACTATTTCCATTCAGGGCCCAGTGCCTGCACACTGTGGTCTGTGGCATTCCTGTGCGACTGGGAAATAGCGCATCAGACAAAGCCAAGGTTAAATCCTCGTGCCCCACCTGCCTGCTGTGGCGACGCCTGGGGCTCTAAGTACCTGACATTTAATCAATTTCCTGCTGTCAAGACCAGAACTGCTTGCACTCTGCCTTTCATATCACATGGAGCCCTCGATCGACCTGACCAATGGACAGCACTGCCACAAGATGCATCCCACACAAAAGGAGCAGAAATTTAAGGAGGTCCGGTGCAGCCCTGGAGCCAGGGGAGCTGGGTCCAAGCCCAGGTTAACCATGTGGCCCTGTCCTGGTCCTGGCATGCCACCCCAATGCCAGTCCTTCCAAGCTGCCAGCGCACACTAACGCTCTGAGGACAGCCAGTGGAAGCTGAACACAGTCACGCTCAGCAGGAGCAGCAGCCTCTCCCAGGGGCCTCTGGGGCCCGCACAACCTCCAATCTGCACAGCATGGAACACAGGGCACAAGCTGACCGAGGGCTGCCGCTGGCCCGGGGACCCAGGGACACTGAACTCCCAATCTGGGGTTCTCAGCACCACCATCCCTCTCCCCCAACCTCCACGCCCAGCCCTGGGCACTCACTGCCCCAATGGCTGCTGGCCTCAGGACTCAGGATTTTGGACAAATCTCTCTGCCCAGGAAGCTCCCTGCCTCTCAGCTCTGTGTAGGGCAGCAGGATGAAAGGTGGGTGGGGGGTGAAGGGGACTCACCCAGGAAATCCAGAGTCATCACATGACCACAGACAGATGTCATCTTGAAGCGGACGGTCTGGCCAGCGAAGGTTCCAGTGTACTCATGCACTGAGCAGGTTCCGTTCAGCCCTTTATGTGAGGACATGCTTCCTGGGAAGAGAGGGGAGGAGGCTACTGCAGGGTGCGTCAGACATGGCCTCTCGGAGCACAGAGGCCCCTGCTCAAGCAACCACTGAAAATTCCTCTGGCCATTGCTGGTCTCCAAATAGTGGTATGAGCGCGACATGGAGCACAGGCTGGTGGGGCTCAGGAGATGCTGTTGAACCCTTCTCTGCATCTCTGTTTCACCCAAAAGGAAGGTCTAGATGGGAGCCACTTGGGGGATGGAAAGGAAATGGCCCCCACCAACCAAAGGGGGCCACAGACAAGTGGGAGCAAGGGCAGTGGTTCCTTTTCTTGGGCCCTGATCTCTGGAGGGCCCCTACCCTGGCTTGACCTAGTAGCTCCCTTGAGTAATGTGAGGTGTATGTAGGGGGTGCATGCCCCTGGCATAGCCGCAGAGACCAGAGCGGGCTTCTGCCTATGTCTTCTTCCTTCCCCATTAGTTCTCCCTTCTCGGAAGCTTCCAGATTAGTTTCACCTGTCCATGACCAACAACCCCGAAAAGCACTGCGGGGACAGTGGGCTCTCGGGAACTGCTGCCTGTCCGCCTCTGTGCTATGAACCACGTCTGCATCTTTTGAAGCCCTGGTACTGGCTCATGTTCATGGTGGCAGCAAATGTGTCCCTCAGTGACCAAGACAGAACGGAGAATTACTATCACCTGCTGTCCCAAAGCAACTCTACTCCAAGGGGCTGGAGTCACCATTTGGGTAAGGAGAAGACCTTTCGCATGGAAACGACCACACTCAGAGCTCAGCCATAGAGAGGGGTGGGCGTCCCTTACCTCGAGAGAGGATTTTGGCAATGGACTGGGCCAAGGATGGCTTTTCTGCAACCATGAGCACGGTCTTCATCTTGTCCGAATGCTGTCAGGGCCTCCAGCCCTGGGAACGGCAGGTCAGAATCTGCTCTTGCTCAGTTCTACAGAGAAGGAAAGAATAGCAGGAGATAGCAGTGCCACAAGGAACTGAATACCACATCAAGGAAGCTCAGTTAAAACTCAAACAAGGGGGCCCTGTTAGTACAGGGTAGGATGTTTCCCTTGGACAACCCAGGTTCGATCCCTGGCATCTCATATGGTTCCCCAAGCACCGAGTAATTCCAGAGTGCAGAGCCAGGAGTAACTCCCGAGCATCGTCGGGAGTGTCCCCCTCCCCCCACCAACAACAAAAAATTCAAACAAAACACAAACCTAAGGCAATCAAAAGAAAAACAAGGGAAACCCAAACCCACACACAAACAACTGAATGGGCTGAGAAATGACTCTGGGAATCTGGCTTCATTAAGAAGCTGAAGAGGGGGATAGAGTGATAGCACAGTGGGTAGGGCATTTGCCTTGCACTCCGCTGACCCGGGTTCGATTCCCAGCATCCCATTTGGTCCCCTGAGCACCACCAGGAGTAAGTCCCGAGTGCATGAGCCAGGAGTAACCCCTGTGCATCACTGGGTGTGACTCAAAAAGAAAAAAAAAAAAAGAAGCTGAAGAGGGTCCTGGAGCCTCAATCCTACCCCTGCATCCACAAGCGGGGGCCTCCAAGGTTCTGGTGCTGGAGGACGGGCTAGGCAGGATGGCTGGGTGGCTGTCTTCCAGGGCTTCAGTTCCGATTACTCTCAAGAGTGGCACCTCCCCCTGAAATATGCCTGGCATCAGGGTCTGTCGCTGCAACAACTGCCTCTGTGGAGCCCAGCACTAAGGCTGTGCTATGGTGGTCTCTACACCCCTGCTGGGGAAGCTTAGTTCTACCAATGGCGAAGCCCCAGAAGTGAGGTTTCAAGGGAAAACCTTCCCCGACACATCCCCCACCACGGAGAAGTCAAGAGCAAGAAAGGAAAGCTGTCAACAAAGGGAATCTGCACTGGGAGTTTTTGAAAAGGAAAAAGGGGCCAAACATTTCTGCCAAGTCAACCTGGGCGTGACCATGCCAGAGATGTCGGTATCCGGATGGCAAGCTGGGTACCCGGCAGTCCTGGTGAGGGCCCTGCCGCTGCTTGGCCCTACAACAGAAACGAGAGGGCCGAGGTGGCCAGCGCTCAAGACAAAGACTTGGACTTGAATCTGGGCACACTGGCTGTAGAACCCACTTGCTAAGCCTCGCCTGTGCTGTAACTGCAGTAATGCGTGCAAATAGCGCCCTCTGCACTGCACGAGAGTCACCTCAGAGTCATGTGCTGTTTTGCAGCTGAGGATGTATATACTGGATCAGGGACTTTGTCTAGGCTCCTCGGACTGTGAGCGATGAGGAAAATCTGGCCGGCCCAATAAACGAAGTCATTCCACCTAATAATAGTATGAATACTGTTTGAGATTTCTAAAATTTAAGAACTGACTTGAAGTTTTAGCATTTTAAACATTTCCTCCCCCTGCCCATGATATCAAAGTTTCTAATCTATCATACTCTTCCTTCATACCTAAGCATCCTAAGAAATTTATTAAGAGCAAAACAGTTCATGGATTCTCCTGTAAAGTTCTCTTTCTTTATTTATTGGGGGCGGGGGCCACATTTGTTGGTACTCAAGGTTTATTCCTGGCTCAGACCTCAGGGATCACTGCTGGTGGACTTGGGGAACCTTATGGGTTGCTGGGGATAGAATCCAGGTTGGCTGTGGGAAAGGCAAGCATCCTACCACTGTACTGTCACTCCAGCCTGAGTTCTCTTTAGAAGGAAACATTTTGCCTGAGATTTGTCACAGGGACTGCCTGTTTCCTTGGACTCAGGGTGCAACAGGGGGTTGCTTCTCCACGTGGCAGCAGCCAGTTTCCAGCACAGTTGTTTTAAAGAAAGGCATGTTTTCATTCAACAGTTTATGCTTTCATTCTATCCAAGCACTTTGCAACGTTCTAAGTAACTCGGTTATATTAGAGGGGAAATTATTGTTATAAGGATTTGTATCCTTATGGTGTCTGGTACTGATTTGGTACAACTCTCTCAAGGACAAACAACTAAGACTCAGAAAAAAAATTTTGAAGGTCAGAGAAATTTGTTGAGCTGGGTTGAAACTCTTACTTCCACAGAGTACCTTCCTGCCTTCCTTTCTTTCTCGCTTCCTTTTTTTGGGGGAGAGCAGACACACCAGCAGTGTTCTGGGTTTACTCCTGGGTTTACTCCAGTGTTCAGGAATCACTCCTGGAGGTGGGATCATATGATTCCCAGAGATCAAACCAGTCAGCCCCATGCAAAGCAAATGCCCTACCTGCTGTACTATTGTTCCAACCCCTGGGTACATTTCCCCCTCCCCCGATTTCAAATCACATGAGGTTTTGCCTCTTAAATGATTTCTGGTCTTAACTGTCATCGATAGCACAGCGGGTAGGGCGTTCGCCTTACAAGCGGCCAACATGGCTGACCCGAGTTCGATTCCTCCGCCCCTCTCGGAGAGCCCGGCAAGCTACCGAGAGTATTCGATATGCCAGACACAGTAACAACAAAGTCTCCAATGGAGACGTTACTGGGCCCGCTCGAGCAAATCGACGATCAACGGGAGGGCCTTTACCTTACCTTTTACCTTAACTGTCATGAATTTTCTGTGACTAATGTGGAGTCCTCCTATTTTTAAAATTCATGTACATCTCCAATGTCCAACCTCAAATCATTGAGAATAAAGGCTGAAAGCAATGGTTTGCAAACTTCATTATTATGTATTCTCTTAGAACTTTTGCCTTACCAACATTATTTACCTAAGATTTTCGCTTCTTTTTTTTTTTCTAATGGGGAGGGGAACAGCTCCCAAGCAGTTCAGCGCACTTGGGGTGGGGCCACTTCTAGTAATACTCAGCTGGGTGGCAATTCAGTGCTAAAGCCCAAAGATACATTGCTGCTTGAGCCCTGAGGGCCAGGGACCACCAGGGCTACCCCAGAGAGTCTCCAGCAATTGAACCTGGGTCAGGTGCGTGCAATGCACAAGCTCTAATCCCTGAACTATCTCTCCTTTCCTTTTGCTTAAGAGCACTGTTGTGTGTGGGGGCAGTACTCCCACGTGGTGGGTAAAGGACTGTGTAAGGCACTTGGGAACTGAGACTGAGTTAGGCCTTCACACGGGCATGTATTCTACCAGCCGTATCCTCAGCCCTGTAAGATTTTGCTTTTTTGAAAAGGGGATATTTTTATAGCCTCTTAGAACCGAAAGACTCTAGTGAAGGGTGAGAACTAGGTTGTTTCCAGTAATCTACATGGTTTATCACTCTTGTACCAATCTAATTTCTCTTGTTGCCTTTAAACTCTGAGTCTGATCTGTCCTCGCAGCAAGTGCTAACATGCTGGCAGCAAAACTGCAAACTGGGACTGTGACAGGAGGGCTGAAAGTGAGGTTGCCTCTGCCATCTCGCTGGCGATACCACCAGTGGAATGTACCCTTGGCAGAAAGAGCCAGGAAAGTCCTCTCCCGAGCCTTAGAGCAAGAGTACTGAGCCGGAGATGTGCAAACAGTCCTCAGTTGTGGATTGTTAACTATTTTATCAAATACCTACAGAATTGTGAACTGGGACTAAGAATTCTTCTTGCTTATTTGTTTTGGGGCTCATACCTGTAGTGCTCAAGGGTTCCTCCCAGAGTTTGGGGGTTTATTTTATTTGGGGGGGGCACATTCATCAGCATTCAGTGCTTATTCCTGGCTCTGTGCACAGAGATCACTTTGGCAGGATTTGAAGGACCATATGCGGTGACAGGGCTCAAATCAGTCGGCCACACACACAAGGCGAGCACCTTTCTCCGAACCGCCCGAGTTTGAGGGTGTCTGCTGGAGATGCTCAGGGCATGGGTCGTGTGGTGCTGGGGATTAAACGGGGCCCCCTCCCTGCATGCCAAGCAGGTGCCCCAGCCCTCGGTGGTCTCCCGGAGACCCATAATCAATCCCTATAACTCCTCTGTCCCGGGCACGTTCTAAAGGCCGTGCTAACAGCTCTATCACGCCCGCGGGGACAGTTTAGGGCAGGAGCACCCTGGATCAGTGTCGGGGGGCCTTTGCCCGCGCCCGGGCACCCTGGATCTCGGGGGGCATCGAGCCCACGCTGAGCTGGCATATCTCTCGTTCCCAAAGGCGGCGCCGCGGGACGAGTCCAGGCCTGCCTCTGCGAAACCAGCGGCCCTGGGTTCTGGCTCCGTCCCCTCCAGAAGCCCCGGCTATGCCCTCCGCCAACAACTGGCCGAAGCCCGGGCCGCGTGGGGCTCGGCGGTGGCCAGGCCGGCCGGGGCTGCCCTCTGCACGGCGCCGCGGAGCCTCAGTTTCCCCGCCTGGCGCCGGAGGCCGCACGCCGCACCCGCACCCGGGCGCCGGCTCCCGGCAGAGGAACGGGAGGAAGCGCGGGCACGCCCCCGTCGGGCCCCCCAGGCCGGCCCCGGGGCGAGGTCCGCTCCCGCCACCGGCCCGCGCGCCCCCCAGCCCGGCGCTGCAGCGCCCGCCGCTCACCCGCAGCCCCAGCGGGGATTCTGCCGCTCCCGACACTCGCCGCTCCCGGGGCCGCCGCCGGCCACCCCGACTTCCGTGTCCGACCGCCGCCGGAGCCCCCCGAGCCCGCCGGCCGCCGGCCGCTCCGCCCCGTCGGTAGGTTCCGCGGCGTACGCGTTCCGGGAACAACAGGCCGGACCGGATCTGCCGGCGCTCCTGGGTCTCGGCGGCTCCCGGGGCGCCCCGGCCCCTCCCCGAGCGCTTCCCGCCGTGGTGCTAGCGGGGTTCCAAGCCCTCACTGCGTCCTGCCTGCCGCGGTCTGCAGGGCACCTCGGAGCCCGCCACCCCGCCGCCCCCTCCCTCTGCAGGGGAAGAGCACAACGACAGTTGTTAGAATGATAATGAAAAGGACCCACGGTAACCAGGAACACAAATATGCTGTCAATAAATAAAACGGAAACAACAGAAGTGAGCCTAGTAGGCTTTTAAAGATAATCTACAAGGGGGGTCTGGGCAGTAATACAGCTGGTAGGGCGTTTGCCTTGCACACGCCGACCTGTGTTCAATCCCACAGCGCCAGGAGTAATTCCTGAGTGCAATATAGCCACGAGTAACCCCTGAGCATCACCAGGTGTGAGCCAGTAAGCCAAAAAGCAAAAAAAAAAAAAAAAAAAAAGAAAAATCTATAAGGAGTGTGGCTGGAGCGACAGTACAGCTGTTAAGGTTTTTCTCTTGCACCCTGCCAACCTGGGTTAGATCTCCTGCACCCTGTTTCTCCGAGCCTCTTGGAGTGATTCCTAAGGGCAGAGCCAAGAGTAAGCACAATCAGGTGTGGCCCACAAACCAAAACAATCAAAACAACACAAAAATGCTGTAAACATTTGTGGGATGACTGGCATAAAATATTTCTGCAAGGTGAACTGGAAAATAAAAGCGATTCTTCTATGTGAGAGCATTAGGCTTATGGAAGGATTAAAATAACATTTATGGCCTTATTTTAAGAATATACGCATTCCCTTTGCCTTTGTGGACTCTTCATCCAACTTGCCTTTAGTGAAACCCATCCCTGCAAGATGCCTGGGGAAAAAAAGGTTTCCCCGTCAGGTTAATAAGACTTGGAAAATGCCAAAAATGGTCAGTGAAATTTCACATTCAAAATAGAACTTCCAATGGCAAACCCACCCTGTGCCAGGTTCTCTGTCTTCCTGGATGCTCAAGCCCCGTGCCTTCGAAGGGCAACCTACACGTTCTCTCACTGGAACTCCTCTGCAAATCCTACCTTCACTTCAAAATATAGTCCAGAACCACTCAATCATCTGCCTCAGTGGCCACTGTCTTTTCTCAAGCCCTGTTTCCCTCCTGGTCTCCTGGCCTTCATTCTGTCATTCTACAATCTGCTGTCCACAAGATCCCAAGTGACCAGAAGTAAGGATTGATCTGAGTATTGGAAGCATTGGCAGAAAGGCAAAAATAGATTCCTTCAGGCCATATGATCCCACCCTGCAGGTTTCATTCTGCAGAGCTGGAGGAAAGAGGTGATTCTCAGATCCAGCAGGGGGTGCTGAGAAGTCAGCCCTGGAGGCCTGGGTGTCTGAATAGATAGTGGGGCTGTGCTGGGCTGTTCTAAATCATTCTAGATGCTTTTCTATAGTTGGTGCATTTAATTCTCATTCCAACACTAGAAAGTAGTCAATATTATTACTACTTTACACATACGGAAATAAGTCACACCAACGTAAAACTAGGAAACCTGGTTCCAGGAGTTTCAACCACTGGTGGCTGTCTTTTCACTGTTTTCTCATTCTCTTTATACTTCCAGACTCTGGAGCCTAATGTTGGGGTTCCTAGGAGACATAAATACTGTATCCTACAGCAAGAACACTGGGACGTAGCCCCAAGCTGTTACCAGCATCTGCTACACCACGTCTTCAAAGTTCTTATCAGTAAGAACATAATTCAGCATTTATGGTTTAATTCCTACATCAGAAACAATTCAGTTACCTGGCTCCAAGTGGCAAAAGTCTTTTCCTTTACTTTGGTTTTGGGGGCTGAGGACTGGCCTAATTCAGAACAGCACCACTGGGGTGAGAGAGACAGTACAGAGGGTAGGGTACTTGCCTTGTGTATAGCTGAGCCAGGTTCTATCCCCAACACCCCGTAAGATTCCTTGAGCCCTACCAGGAGTGATCCCTGAGAGGACAACAAAGGTAAGAAGCAAGCCAACAGACTAGACCCAAGGTGTCTTCCTTATCAGCTTACTGGGAAGTGGGTGCTGTAGCCCACTGGCTGTCCTACAATGACCAGGATTCTGGATCTCCTTGGCCCTGTCTGTCAGTCTTTTCCAGATCTTCCTATGCATGCCCTGCACGTGCCTGGCTCACTAAGGAGTTCCTCTCTCCCTGAGGGTGTCCCCATCCACATCAGTCTTGATTGTGTTCTGTCCAGAAAGCACCGGGGAACTGGGCTCCTGTGACAGTCTATTGACCCCAGACCTCATTCGGCAGAGGCCCTTTACCATGGCAACAACCAGGATTTTCCCAGGATGACTTGCTCCAGATATCTCCTAGCAGATCTGCCAGGCTCAGCTCAGGGTCCCCCATCTTATCCCAAGATTCCACCTTTGATCAGCTGAAAAAAACATATCCCTGCTCTCACTGAAAGCTGTCTTGGGCTTTTGTATATGAATCTGAGGGCAGTGATGCCTGGCAGAGGACATGCTTCATGAAGACAGCTGGCTGGGCATGCTGAGGGCCAGTACATAGAGGAGAGCCTGGAACTGGGGTGCTTAGCTGAGTGCCCAGTTTCATTCCACTCAGAAACAAAGTATAAAAATGAGAAGCAGAGAGAGAGAGAGAGAGAGAGAGAGAGAGAGAGAATGTGTTTGTTCAACAAGCTGAGTGTGGCGAGGCCCCAGTCCCATCCTTGGCACCACACGTTCCCCAAGCACCACCAGGAGCAACCCCCAAGCACAAAGCTGGGAGCAATTCCTGAGCACCACTGGGTGTGACTCAAAAACAAAAAAACAAAATGAGAAGCAGGATAAGTGATGGGAAGAGTGAGTCAGGGAAGGAGCGCTCCATGAGGAGGATCGGACATCCAGTGTTACTCTGCCCAACTAGGACATGCACACTGCACCACTTAATGTGGACCATGTGAACGAGTACTGGAGTCAGGCCGGGCCTTTAGGCCCAAGAATGAGAAAGAGGAAGGCGACAGAGAGCTCCGTGAAAGTTTCCTTTATGTTCCCTTCAAACAACAGGGGCCCAGCAGGAACCTGGGTTTGAACTCTCCCACCCAGTTCTCAGGCCCTGCTCCTGCCCCTCAGTCAAGCTGCACCAGTCTCACGGGCAAGGGCGAGGGCAGTCGGGGGCTCCACTGCATGTCTGTCCGCTGCACAACCTGCAGCAGCTTCTGCAGCTCAGCCTGCACTTGGCACAGCTTCCCTCTGTCGATGGGGCCCCAGGAGAGGCCATACAGGTACACGCAGCACTCCACAGGGATGGGGTAGAGCACACGCTTCAGCTCCCTCAGTGCGGACGTGTGCTCCAGCAGGCTCAGCAGGCCTGTCCTAGACACGGGGTTGTCTGAGAGGCCCAGGGCACGGAGGTGCGAGCAGCGGCACAGGGCTGGCAGGATGACGCTCAGGTGCACGTCCTTCAGCCAGCAGTGGTTCAGGTCCAGATGTTGCAGGGTGCCCGACACCTCCTGCAGCAAGGTCTCGAGGGGCCCTGGGACCACATGGGACAGGCTGTTTCCACTCAGGTCCAGCTTCTTCAGGCAGGTGGCATGAAGGCTCTGGGACAGGTAGGTGATGTCAGCGTTCAGAAGCGTGCAGGAGCGTATCTCCAGGGTATGCAGGGGCGTCTGAAGGCAGCTGGGGAGAGAGATGGCACAGCATGGCTCTGAGTCTACCTCCTCACCCTGGCAGCCAATGGGCACAGGAGCACATCTTTGATGCTCCAAGGCCTGGCGCCACCATCTCAATACACCTACCTACTGGCCCCTTTCCTACCCCCTCCAGTTTTGGGGAAACAGAGACCCACAGTCAATATGCACATTATGACTACAGATAGGAGCTCATTTGATAACAGATTCATAGGATGAGCCTCTTATTGCTCGGGGTTGAGTTTGGGGAAGTTGGGCCCAGGACACACTGTCTCCATCTCAAAATGTCTGGGCGGCTTGTATAGACACCCTTCCCATGTGATCCTGTGGAGCCCTCTCTTTTGAGTTTCTCATCCCCTGGTGGGGACTCCAAGAGGGGGATGGTGGTCCCTGCTTGCTCAGTGTCCGGCCGATCCAATAGCATCACTTAGCAGAACACACAAAGAAAGGTCGGAATAGATACAGGCATGTGTGTTTCTTCATCAAAGCAGAGCCCTGTGGCCCAGGCGCCACCCTTGATTCCATGAGCAGACAAGAATGCGCCCGGGTCCTCCAAGGAGCATTGTGAGGACTCTCGGGAGGACCCTGCCCACCTGTTCACCTGAGCACTTGATGGAGGTTGCCTGAGAGGTAGGAATAGGCCAGGTGGAGCTTCTTGAGGTGGCCCAGTTGGCCTAACTGGGAGAGGAAGTAGCTGGAGGATTGCTCGGCCTCGGGAGAGAAAGCCCAGTGGTAGTAGGCCAGCTTGAGGCTGCGCAGGTTGCAAATCCTCCCCAGCTGGGTGGCAAACAGGCTTTGCTCGGACAGAGCCCGGAACCAGTCGAACACCTCTAGCTCCTGGATGAATTCCAGGTCCAGAGTTTTCAGGATCCCGATAAGGCTGTTAAAAGTCATTTCCTCAATATGCAACTTCCGGCAGCAGAGACGCAGAGACCCTCTGCTCTGCTCCACCTTGCTCAGGAGGCTGGCAAGGAATGTATCTAACTTGAAGGGGCCTTGCAGGAAAAGATCAATGTGTAACTCCAGTGGCTCTCCCGACTGGCTAGATGCTTTTCTTGAGTCCTCTGCTGCCATGGGCTGGGATGTGACCTGCTGCTTCTCAGCCTTGGCTGTTGATGGCAACCAAAAAGGGAACTTGGCCAGGGCCTCCGAGGCACCTTTCCCCTGGACCTGCTCGAAGTCCAGGGTCAGATCCAGCACCCTCAGTTCTGACCTCCTGTGGGGCAGAAAAGGGTGTGAGGGGACGCTGGCAGCTGGGGAAGGGGTCAGTAGCAATTCTGGAACGCTCAGCGCCTCTATCCCCAAGCTCAACTGGCCTTCCACCCAGTGAGCTTGTCCTGACCTACTTCCCTTCCCGGTCCCTGTCCCTCAAGGCCTTTCAGCTGCATCATTCATCGCTCCTCCCAGAAACTCCAGGACACCCCTCACCCTCCATTTTGTAGCCCCAGCACTGTGTTATTTGGGGAGTCAGAAACATAGCTCAGGACGACTGAGGGTATCCACCAGCAATTTTCAGCCAACCAGGTCAGAAGAGATGTGAGGGCCAGAGAAGCGGTGCTGCTTGGGCTCTGTGGTGCCTGGTAGTACTTGGAATGTTCTGGGGACCATGTGGTGCCAGGGAAGGAACGGGAGTATGTTGTGTTGTTCTATCTCCCAGTCCCAGCCCCAGCAGATTCTAATGCTGCTTCCTATCTCTCCTTCTGACGGTGCCCTGACCCTGGTCTCAGTATTCCCCTTACCTGGGACAAGTCCTGTGGGCAGGAAAGATGTTGAGTCCATCCAGCACCGCTTGCAAGCTCTCATGGTTGGGCCACTGCACTATGAGAGAGCCCAGACGGAGAACGGGGAAGGGCCAGGCCTGCACCAGTGCCTTCAGGGCCTGCCTGTGCCCCTTGGCAAATGCAGTGGTGAGCAGTGGTGGGAAGAGGTCGACTGTGAACTCTTCTAGAGCAGGTATAGTCTCACTGCTCAGCAGGCTGTGGGCTGCCAGTTCCAAAAGCTTGGGTAGAGTTGGGCTGCTCATCCCTGGGAAGCTGCTGCAGAATAGAGTAGAATAAGGTGGAATGCAGCCTTCTGAGGAGAAGAGACACTGTTCAGGATCCCTTCCAGGCCATGACGGGGCATCCAAGCCATTCACATCCAGGGGCTGCAGCTATAGCTGGTAAGGTGCTAGCCTTGCACATGGCCAACCCAGGTTTGATCCCCAGTACCCTATATGGTCCCCCAAGTACTGCCAGGAGTCCTGAGGCAGAGCCAGGAGTAATCGCTGAGCACCACCGGGTATGGCAGAAAGAAAGAAAGAAAAAACCCATCCTAGAATTGTGACCCCACAGGTCTTGCGTGTCTCTGATTTTGTGGTTATGCCTCACTCCTGGCTCTGGGGTCATGGAGCCCAGAATCTCAGTGTTTTAGATGTATTTCTTCCTAGGCTCCAGAAACTGAATTGGCCCCAAATTTCCTCCTCTGCCTTCACCACCTACTAAGGACATGAAACAAACCACCACATTGTTTCTGTTAATTCTACCTCCAGAATGTGTATGGACTGGCTCACTTCTTATGGCTTCCACTCACCCACCCCCACTAAAGCCTCCTGATAATTTTCATTTATTTACTTGGCCATACTCTGCAGTGCTCAGGGCTTAACTACTGGTTCTGAACTCAGGAAACACTTCTGGAGGGCTCAGGGGACAATAAGTGGTGCTGGGGATCGAACTGGGTCAGCATGTGCAAGGCAGGCACCCTATCTGCTACACTATTGCTCCAGCACATCACCACTTCCAACACCTCTGTCCCAACTGCTGCTATAGCCATATACCTTGTCCTGCGTCTGCCCTTTCCCTGCTATGGTCTTGGCCATTTCATGTTGCTTCTTGGCTTAAAACTCTCCACTGGGGTCAGAACGAGAAAGGGCTGGTAACATGCTCCACATGCAGGAGGCGCAGGTTTGATCCCAGGCACTTCGTGGTCCCCCGGAACTGTTGAGAATGACCCCCAAGCACAGAGTAAACAGAGAATTGGGAGCAACCCCTGAACACCACTAGGTGTTACAAAACCCCCAAATAAAAGAAAAATAATGCTCCAATGATTTAATTTTCACTCTGAATAAAAGGTGCCTGGTGGCAGCCCCTTAGCTTACCTGGGTCCATTTCTAATAACTCTCCCTAGCATTTACTCTGCATTAGTAACCCACGATGGGTTCTGTGCTCTTCCTGAAGCTCAAGTAACCTTTTTGTTGTTGTTCTTTTTGGGTCACACCCAGCAATGCTCAGGGGTTACTCCTGGCTCTGCACTCAGGTCCCCTAGTGGTACTCTGGGGACCATATGGGATGCTGGGAATCGAACTCGGGTTGGCCACGTGCAAGGTAAACGCCCTACCCACTGTGCTATTGCTCTAGCCCCCCAAGTAACCTTCTACCTCAGAACCTTTTACCTGTGCACTTTCTTTCCTGGGTGAACCACGTGCAAGGCAAGTGTTTGTACTAGCTCTCCAGAACCGCCACCTCACTATTTACTGGTTCTTTTGGTAGTCCTTATTTTTATTTATTTTTTTTAGTAGTCCTGATTTTTAATCGCTAGCAAATAAAGCGTATCATATTCACCTCTGCCGTGAGAGGAGAAACAGAACAGTTGGTCCCAGAAGTTTTACACTCAAAGGTACACGGTCTAGCTGAATATTGAGCCTTTCTGGATTAAACAGTTTAGTACTGACATTCTCTCTCCCGCCTACAGGCTAAATGGGGGTGAGCTTTTCACTTAAACTTACTTCTTCCTCACATAAAGTGATCAATAGGATCTCACTCACTCTCTTTTTCTTAAACGTGAGTCTTTGTGCTTGTCATTCCAACTCAGCTGTCATTTTAATAACTCAGTTGATCTTCCTGGCCTCAGGGTGCTTTTAAGGCATGTTTTAAGACGGGGTTTAAGGGATTATCATCGAGGACATAAAGCAGCTGGGCAGGAAGCAAGGTGTGAGCCACCTGCCTCCAAAGAACTAAGTTGGCAGCAAAGACTCGAGAGAGATCCTGGAATAACTCAAGGGCCCATATAACAGCACGGGGAGTTCTCAGGGCCCCCACGAGCCTCACTTAGGGATCCATCGGGTCCACCTGTACCCACGGTTGGGCAGCGAGGGTCACGGAAATGATTCCACCCGGGACTCGATGGCTGGAGTCCAAAACGGTGGGCACCGTCGCACTTGGTCGCCCCGAGTGGGTCTGTTGGGCCGGAAGTCCGACTTCATTCCCAGTCCGCAGGTCCTCAGGATGCGGGTCTGTTCCGCGTTCTTTGGTTCCTAGGTACTGAATGGAGCAGAGGAACGTGAGGACCAGTTCTAGATCCTCTAGGGGTTCCACGGGCTGGGCCAGGCCGAGAGCTCTTAAGGCAGGATGTCGCAAGGCGGGAGGACCGCGAGCCTGTGCCTCCACTTTGTGCAGGAGGGCGAGAATTAGCATAAGGCCTTTTACTGAGATCCTGGTTAAAGGAAAAGGGAAAAGGTCAAATCTGAAGGAAACTAGAGCCCAGATAGGTCCACTGTGCCATTGATCTCAGCCTTTCTTGCTGAGGTTCATTTAGGCTTTGGGGAGCTCTTAACAGCACAAACTCTAGGCCAAAGTTACACAGACCTGTCTCCGTTCCTGGGTTTTATCATTAAAATGTGGAACACAATTGTACTTGTCTTAGGGTTACTATGGGGAAAAAAAAATTTATATATATGCACACAGAGCACTGAGCCTTGTGCACAGGTAAGAGCTCAATCAGCATGCTCTTTTTGAATATTATACGAATGAATGAAAATTATTATATTTGTATAATAATCTCTTTGAATATTATACAAAAAACACTTTGCTTCATCTTGTTCTCTTAGTCTATGGAACTCTTGGCAAACCAACTAACCCAAATCAAAGATAATCACAGGTTAAAAACAATTTTAGCAATATATAAGGTAATACATGCCTCTTTAAAAGGGGCAAAATAACACTGGAGATAATCACAAGAGTTAGGGCCTTTAGGTTGAGGAGAGGTTTCCTACATTGAAACAATGGAAAATAAGACATTATTTCAGGTAAGTGTGAAGTCTTTGCAATGAACTGAAATATAACCAGTGTGGGAAGCTGAAATTAGTCTTGTTTTAACTTAGTTGTTGATGAATAGACCTGGGTAGAGCTAAAGAGAAGAACAGAATCAGATCTTATTTGGCTGTGTAAAAAGTCCTACTAAAGAGGTCATTCAAAGTAACCCTGCTAGATTGGGCATCTTTGGAGGTGCAGTAGTAATGGTGGTGTCTCAGGGCAGGCTGTCCTGGTCAGCATATGCCTGCACTCTCCACTTAGCCTGGCGCTAATGAGACAGTCATTAGCTTTTCTGCGGAAGGTGGTACCCAGTAGGATGCTTAAGTATAAGTTGCACTTTGTTCCTTTCCGATTAATAAACGTTAGGTAGCAGGAACTTTGACCTTATATAAAGGTCCTGTTTGTGGTTAGTCTTATAGTTTACTTGTATCATTGTGAACTCCCTCAGCTTTATATAAAGATAAAGATATTTCAATATATTGCATTCATTAAGGTGAGGAGTGACTTGGAAAGGAAACATTTATACCTTAGCTAGGGAATTTATAAAATATTTAGCCATTGTTTATTTTTTGGCTTCAGTCTTTATAATAATTTTGCCAATATCTGCCTTAAAATAGACCAGTCAGGGCGGTGGGAGGGATACTGGGAACATTGGTGGTGGAGAAAGGGCACTAGTGGAGGAATGGATACTGGAACATTGTTTGATTGAAACGTAATCACGAAAATTTGTAAGTTTGTAACTGTATCTCATGGTGATTGACTAAAATAAAAAAAAATAGAAAAAAATAACCCTGCTAATCATCCATTGTAACGTCTGAGTTAGGTTGATAAAAATCTCTTATAATAGTGGCAAATAAAATTGGAAAATTATTAGTGATCCTTATTATAACAGAGGCAGCCAGTTTCCCACAGAACACCAAGGGAAGTGTCCTCTTAGCTTCACACAGAAGGTGGCGTGAAGAATGCTCGAAGTGGTTGGTTGTGGCTCACTAGGGAGAAAAGATCCTGGGGGTATTTGAGTAAAGTTTGTTCTAAAACTTTTACTACCAATTCAGCTTCTTGCAGTAATGGTTTTGAAGACATTCATTCCTAATGCTGCACTGGACAATGAGGAGAGGAAGAGGGATATATGCTTTTGTTTCTTGAGACACACTTTTCCGTGATCTTCAGCAAGATCTAAACAACTGAGATTTTTCCCTAGAAGAGAAACACTAACAAGAAACCAAAAAAAAACAAAACAAAACAAAACAAAAGCCTATGAGTGGGAGGAAATTCTGCAGGGAGTTCTGCATAGAGCCTGGGAGAACCCACAGTCCTTAATGAAGTTATTTGATTGTTACCTTATGTCTTTGATCCTTAATTGCCTTGCACAAAATGAGTACGGGTAGTATACTTAGATCAAGAAGTTGTTGGATGGGCCAAAGCGGATAGGGTGCTTGCCTTGCAACCAACCAACCCAAGTTGGATGTCCAGCAACTAGACTGTTCCCCAAGCACACCAGGGGTAATTCCTGAGTGCAGAGCCAGGAGTAAGACCTGAGCACTGCTGGACGTGGCACCCCCTAAAAAAAAAGTTGGAGAGAAAAAAAAATATTTCACAGAGCGTTCTTCCCATGTGTGGTATGTAATAAAACCTAAACAAGTCCTTGTCATTATCATTATTTGTATTTTGCATCTTTTCATTTTTCACATTTTTGTAAAGTTGTGAGCCTTTGAATTTTACAACTTTGTTCAAGTATTGTAGAATCAGCTGTTAATAACCTCACTTTGTGTTAAATTTTCTAGTTTATTTTTTCATCTCATGAAAGTATTTACATTCATTTGCTAATGCTATCATACATGCAAAATACCATAAATCAGGAGGTTTAAAAAATTAATTTTCTCAGTTTTGGAGGCTAGGAATCTAGATCAGAGAGTTGGCAGTGACTGGAGAGACAGCCTGGGGGTTGCCTGCACGATGGTTCAATCTGCACTACATG